GTGCTTATTAAGTTCAATTTGGTCTTAATGAATTATAGTTTCTCAAATAATAGGTGTGGTTCACAGAGGTCACAATCCTGTACTGTATAATTTTGGAATAGAAATAGTAAATGTGTCATTCATTGTATGCTCTTGCAGGGTTATGTGGTCCGAATCAGTGGTGGGAATGACAAACAAGGTTTCCCTATGAAGCAGGGTGTCTTGACCCATGGCCGTGTCCGCCTGCTACTGAGTAAGGGGCATTCCTGTTACAGACCAAGGAGAACTGGAGAAAGAAAGAGAAAATCAGTTCGTGGTTGCATTGTGGATGCTAATCTGAGCGTTCTCAACTTGGTTATTGTAAAAAAAGGTGAGGGTTATACTTGTATTCCATTTTGTTGAAATTGAATTAAAGCCGTTGTCCAAATGCCTATTCGTTTGCAGTATCCAGGCTTAGACCAACGGATTTGTTTCTTTCCCATCGACTCAACATTAAACATTGGTTTATGATTTAGGATTCTTAAGTATAAGGAAGTTACTGAATTGAAATCTGTTCAATTATCTCTTCTAAGGAGAGAAGGATATTCCTGGACTAACTGATACCACCGTGCCTCGTCGCCTGGGGCCTAAAAGAGCTAGCAGAATCCGCAAACTTTTCAATCTCTCTAAAGAAGATGACGTCCGCCAATATGTTGTAAGAAAGCCCTTAAACAAAGAAGGTAGGAGGGATGATACAATTAGGGCTTAATTTTGGTGATTTGTCAGTAGCATTTTGTGTGCGTATCAGAAGATAAAATGTGTGCCTTTGGCACTATTCAACTGGAGTCTGAGTTTTTACAAATAATTTTGGGGGGGTGGCCAGATACCCCATTGATATTAATCCTTGGTTATTATATCTAGTGCCTTGCAGAGTGCAGTAATATTAATATTTAGGAGATGAGATCACACTGTGTTGCCTAGGCCGGTCTTGAACCCTTGAGCTCAAGTTATCCTCCCACCTTGGCCTCCCAGAGTGCTGGGTTTATGGGAGTGCGCCATCACACCTACCCCTAAACCATGTTTTGGCTTACAAAAGAAGTTGCTTTAAACTTCTCCTGTTTAATCTGTAGGATATGGATAAAACTAGTTGTGAGAATTAGAAACCTTACTCAAAATACTACAGAGCAGGCATTTGGGATTTTGGTACTTTACCTTTTAAGAACTTGTTGTGTCCATGTATTAGGTAACATACTAGTGAGGACCTCAAATAACATTAGTATTTCTGTAGTGAAATTTGGGAATATTTATGTTAAATAGTAAATAGCATGTCAGTCAGGGTTGGTTTTTCTTACAAAATCTGAAAGAATTTCTCTGGACTTTGGTTTTCAGGACTGATGTGACTTAGCACCTGTAGGTGACATACATAGTACATGCCTGTTAAGTCACTAACTACAGTTATTTGAGCACCAGGTACTGTTTCAGGTGATGAGATTACAGTAAGACAAATTACTACCTTCTGACATTGCAAAAAAAACAAAAAGTGATTGACAAATAGGTGGCAGTTGCCCATAATCACAGCCCTGGAAATAAACAGTATAATAAAAGCATGGTCTAGTTAATGGGTTTTTTTTTTTGAGACGGAGTTTCGTTCTTGTTACCCAGGCTGGAGTGCAATGGCTCTATCTTGACTCACCGCAACCTCCGCCTCCTGGGTTCAGGCAATTCTCCTGCCTCAGCCTCCCGAGTAGCTGGGATTACAGGCACGCACCACCATGCCCAGCTAATTTTTTCTATTTTTAGTAGAGATGGGGTTTCACCATGTTGACCAGGATGGTCTCAATCCCTTGACCTCGTGATCCACCCGCCTCGGCCTCCCAAAGTGCTGGGATTACAGGCTTGAGCCACCGTGCCCAGCCATGGGTATTTTTAAGATGGTTCTTATAGTAGGAGTCTTAACATTTTAGAACCTGGACAATCTGAGCATTTAACCTAAGGCAATTAACTCCCACAAAATGTCCTGAAATGAATACATCTGAAAAGGCTTATGCTCCAATGCAGATCTGTAATGCATCAGCAGTTTTGGAGTACAGATCAGATTACTGAACATATTTTAACAACAGGCCACATAATCTGATGTTAATTGTTGCCCCAAAATTGGGAGGAATTGTCAAGGAAAATAGAGATGCAAGCTTACATCAAACCTACACTTAAAAGTATGGCAGGATGATCACATAGATAATGTGTGAAGTGGTTTTCACAGACAAGTTAATTATGCATTTAAGCTGGCAGGCAGTAAAAGCCTGGTTATTTTTCAGGACTTCAGTTTTAATCCATCTTCTACATGTCTGGAGGGTCAAAAAGTATTTTAGAATAGTTGTCATTTGATTTTAAAGGCCTCATACAGGTTTTCATAGATTGTTAACTCAATGAAAGCTTACATTCATTTCTGATGTTTTTAAAGTAGATGTGGATTCTAACAAAACAAATACTGAAATTACTGAGTCCTTTGAATTTTTAGGTAAGAAACCTAGGACCAAAGCACCCAAGATTCAGCGTCTTGTTACTCCACGTGTCCTGCAGCACAAACGGCGGCGTATTGCTCTGAAGAAGCAGCGTACTAAGAAAAACAAGGAAGAGGCCGCAGAATATGCTAAACTTTTGGCCAAGAGAATGAAGGTTAGTCTAAGATGATTTGAGGGGGGGGAGGAGTTTGGCCTGGCTTTGGATTTGCACCTTTACCCCAGAAAGGTCTTAATTATATGCTGGTTTGTTTTGTTTTGTTTAGGAGGCTAAAGAGAAGCGCCAGGAACAAATTGCGAAGAGACGCAGACTTTCGTCTCTGCGAGCTTCTACTTCTAAGTCTGAATCCAGTCAGAAATAAGATTTTTTTGAGTAACAAATAAATAATATCAGACTCACCTCTCTGTTTAGATTTTTCATTGCTGATAGAAAACGACATAAATGAAGAGAGGGCAAGTTCGGTCATAGAAAATAGGGATGTGTATATAGTAATCCAGTGGTGGATAAAATCAGACGTGTTGTGTGGCAGCAGAAGACAAGGTCACGGTAAAGGGGTTCTTTTCAGGGGATGGGTGGCACAGGAAGGGATTCTCAGCAGAAGACAGCTTGCATCTTCAGAAAGGCATGAAACTTGGGGAAAATAATGAGGACTATTAGTCTTTTTATATGGTTTATTTAGAGAAATATAGCTCTTTAAAACACTATGCACAATTTAACACATGAAAATTGCCCTTGTGAAGATGAACATGTCTTTTTTTTTTTTAAGAAAAAGTAACTTTTAAGGCATGGTTTTAGTGGATACCATCTTAAAACAGTTTTTTAAACCAGTGCAAATTTGCTTTAACAAAGCTTTTCAACTCCAGTGAATTGTTAACGCTGTTTCACACTGAAAAGGAACTGACTGATTATAAGAAAACTCTTGCATCAGTGAAGAATAAGTGAAGTATATATTTTTTTCTAATAATTTTTATGCTGACTATTCTGACAATATCAAAATCTTTACAAGAAGGATCATTAGGCTTTAAGGTTGAAGTAATGCAAGCTTTTTATTTGTTAGAACTGCTGTAATAGGTTTACAAAGTAAAGTTCGAAATGTAGATGTGAGTCACCTAGGGGACTGTTTTTTTTTTTTTAAAGCTCCCAGGTGTGAGGACAGTAATGGTGGCCTCAGTCCCTGGATGCCTACTAAGATTCTTAACTCCATTCCTCTTACTACATGGTGTTAAAAAGCTATATAACATAAAAAGACTCTTAGCTGGTGATTAATACAGAATGCAGAACTTAAAAGGCAAAGAAGAGGCTGAGGCAGGTGGATTGCCTGATGTCAATTCAGCCAAGATGGTGAAACCGTGTCTGCTGAAATAAAAAGCCAGGTGTGGTGGGTGTCTGTAATCCCAGCTACTTGGAAGGCTGAGGCAGGAGAATCATTTGAACTGGGGAAACAGGTTGCAGTAAGCTGAGATTATGCTACTGCACTCCCACCTGGGAGACGGCAAGACTCCCTCTCAAAAAGTAAAGGGGAGAGATTTAGCACTTTACCCAAAGTTAAAAGGACTGATAAAACCAGAGAGGAAGTTAAAAGCCACAAGATGAGTCAGGTGTATGATCCAAAGTTTGGTATGATGATGTACAAAACATGAGAACCACCCTTTCTGAAAATTGAGTGCAGCCACAAAATAAGGATATTCTTTAAGGTTTTCCTTAGACTTCTTTTTTGCTTTGAGACAGGTTTCACTCTGCCTAGGCTGGAGAGCAGTGGCTTGGCTCATTGTAGCCTTGACCTCGGTTCAAGTGATTGTCCCACCTAAGCCTGGGACTATAGGAGGTATGCACTGTCACACCTGGCTACTTTTTGTAGAGTTCTGCTGTGTTGCCCAGGCTACTCTTGAACTCCTGGGCTCAAGTGATCTGCCTGCCTTGGCATCCCAAAGTGTTGAGATTACTACAGGTGTGCGCAAGTAGTAAGTTCTCCAAAGACACATGCAAATCATTCTGAGGTCATTAGCAGGTTGTGATCAACCTTACACAATATCATTAGTTTGAAGAAAAAAAATCGCTATCAATCCCCAAACCAATATAAGGTACCACTAAGTAATCTGGACTAATTTGAAACATTGCTTTGAAAGAAGTAATCAGGATTAAAGTTGCATACAGTGCTACAAGTCATTCTGGGCATTTCTAAATCTTTCCATAGTAATGTTTTTTTCCTGTAAATTTTTAGTGGTGCCCTCTCTGTGGTGGGCACTGGAAAAAGCCTTTAAGAATTTATAACAAGAAATCAGTCCCAATATCTAAATGGCAGCAGTAGGCTAAGGTTTTCAAGGTATGATTGCTAAAGTTATTAATAAGTTTACAATTTGATCGATCCATATATTCTTAAACATGTAAATATATCTTACAGATTTTTTTAAATGGGAAGTGCTTTGGTAAGTCAAAATTAGTTCAAGTTACAAAGACTACAGTGAAGAAATGGAAACAAAATGTTGGAATTCTAAAGATTACAGATCTCAGGAGGCCTAATGTAACAAAACACAGCAAACTTAATTTATTCAACCTCAATTTCTATATGCAAAGTAATTCCAAACTTTCTATTGGGTCACTAAGTGTTAAGTATTACAACTAGTACCAAGTCTTAAGTTGCAAAAATATATACTCTGAGGCAGTGCAAAAGATCCATTATGAAGGTAATGAAAATTGTACATAATTTCTGAAAAGTTATTTAGCATTTTCACAATAAATTCACACTAAAATTCTGCATAGGTCAGATTAACCCTGAAATGTTCAAAGTCTGGTACAATAATTTGTAAATGGTTACATTAGGTAGAAGGGAGTTATGCTGTTACTGTACCATATGGAAGTAATTTTACCATGTCAACTGATTTAGTCATCTACATAATTACTGTAAACACACAAAACCACTGGCTTTTAAAATCATGCAGAGAGTTAAGGCAAACTTACTGTTTCTAAGGGATAGTTTTAACAAAAGCCATGATAAATGTCAAAGTGCGGCATATGAGATCATGATTTTCTTAAACCTACTGCTAACAAGCTTAATTTAAAATTTTAAGACTTAATTGATTCAAACTAAAAAACAGTATTTACAAATGCACATTTTTACTCACAAGCATACAAATCTAAATATTATACAAGAATAAAACTTCTGTGTGCAGTGCAAGTTTATCCCACAGGTTTTAAAAATCAATACCAACAATGTATGTGCCTGAACAAAGAATTTATGTTCAGTGACGTACACTGTAGCATTTTAAGCATGTTCTAATTAATTTTGTGAATTATTAGGCAGCTGATTTATTTTCATTTTAACTATCTGATGATTGATTGATTTGATCCCGTTTTAAAAAGGTATTACAAATTTAAATATTGGGAAGAGGATGGAAGTAACTGGATAGTCAAGATAAAATTCATTAAGCAAGATAATATATAATATGAAAAGTGTATTATGTTGGTGCAAAAGTAATTGCAATTTTTGCCATTAATAGTGGCAAAAACCTCTATTACTTTTGCACCAACCTAATAAAGTCACAGAAGTCAGCTCTCATCAAAATGAGACCCCCTTCAGAAAATTGTATTGCAACATACAATCTATTTTAATAAATACTTAGAATATGGCTGTATATACATATAACCTACACAGCCCTACACATATACACACACACAAATGTGTTGCTCTCTTTTTTTGAGACAGTCTCACTCTGTCACCCAAACTGGAGTGCAGTGACGTGATCTCTGCTCACTGTAGCCTCTGCCTCCCGGGTTCAAGTGATTCTCCTGCCTCAGCCTCCCAAGTAACTGGGACTACAGGTGGGGCGCCACCATGTCTAGCTAATTTCTGTATTTTTAGTAGAGACAGGCTTTCACCATGTTGCTCAGGCTGGTCTTGAATTCCTGGCCTCAAGTGATCCAAAGTACTGGGATTACAGGCCTAGGCCACCATGCCCAGCCATGTTACTCTTATAATTGAGACATTTCATTTGTTTTGGGGGTTAGGCAAATTTAATTTGCCATTCCCCAAACTCAGTAACTTCAAATATAAACAATGCCTAGAATGAATATGGTTCCTCACTATTTCTATCAAACTACTACAAACACTGAGGAATCCTAAAGTAGTTTTCCACAGAGGCAGAAAAACAGTCCAGGAGTTGAAAATCTTCAATGTCAACAAGGCCTGCCTGGGACATTTAAATGGCATTTCATATTTTAAGATGATGCAATATGAATCATAATTCATTATATGTTATCCCCAAGAGTTACTTCATTTCTGTTTTCATATTAGGATTTGGAAAAAAACTTTGAATGTTTCCAGATTAAATATAATCCCTAAGCCTTGTATGTCAAAATTCTAGTGAATATTTAAATGAGAGGCGCTCCAAAACACTTCCTGCACCACTCCACACTGGCACTTGGTGGAACATCAATTTTCTGTAACTTGTCAAGAATCTCCAAAGACAGACTGTTGTATGCAATTCCATATTCATTGTCAAAGGCCTCTGAAATAAATTTTCAAAAATGAAATTGTTACTTATTAAGAAAGCAAATAGCCATTCATTTCAAGTTGGTATTGAGTCAAATTATACATATTTGAACTACATATTTAGAAGCAGCAATCTTTAAATCTTTTATACATACCAGCTACAATTTTTAAAATTATTTTAGAAAATAAAATTTAAAACTTCCTTTAGTAATCTTTCATTAACCAACTTACCAATATCAATATTCTCTCTTCCTAGAGACACTAATGATAAGAAGAGGATTTCTCTGTATAAACTCCTGTAAAACAAATATGTTTTACTAGTTAATAGGCAAATAGCATAAAAATAGATGCATTTTTTAAAATGGTGAAGACAGATTAAGTTCTGTTGTCTAGTTAGCAGTATACCTATGACAATGTCCTGGTTTTAAAACTACGTTACAGTTATATGAGGTATCACATTTGGAGGAAGCTGAGTGAAGGCTACACTGAATTCTGTACTATTTTAGTAACTTCCTGCAAGTTTCTATTCCAAATTAAAGTTAAAAAATAGTGAATGGGCATAAAGCTTCACACTAGAAACAAAAATGGCTTAACTTTATTATATTTTAACAATGTAATACATAACTTTTAATTCTAATGTCTAATTAAAATTTACAAAAGCAGAGTCTTCTCTCATCTTTTGTCACTTGACAAAGTTAACAGATTAATTTCCAAGTAAGTTAGGGGTCTAAAACCCTTAGACACAAACAAAAAGGTGGTGTGGGCTCTTTATTATTTAACCCAATAGCAAAGGACAGTTCATGTTTATCTGATTTGTGCGTGTTAAAATGTCACAGATCAAACACTAAAAGTGAGCTTCACGACTCAGTCGTTAAAGATGAGGGATGCACTGTATGTACATAAAAAAAAGAAAACAAGAAATGCACTGTATGTACATAAAAAAAATAGAAGGTAAATATAATGCTGATTCTAGTGACACTTCATATCACTTTCTTTTTTTTTTTTTTTTCCCAGACAGTGTTTCGCTTTTGTTGCCCAGGCTGGAGTGTATTGGGGCGATCTCGGCTCACTGCAACCGCCGCCTCCTGGGTTCAAGCAGTTCTCCTGTCTCAGCCTCCTGAGTAGCTGGGATTACAGGCATGCGCCACCATGCCCAGCTAATTTTGTATTTTTAGTAGAGATAGGGTTTCTCCACGTTGGTCAGGCTGGCCTCAAACTCCCAACCCCACGTGATCCACCTGCCTCGGCCTCCTAAAGTGCTGGGATTATAGGTGTGAGCCACCGTGCCCAGTCCCATCACTTTCTTTAGAAGCTTGCCTGTAGTCCCGGCTACTCAAGAGGCTGAGGTGGGAGGATCGCTTGAGCCCAGGAGTTCTGGGCTATATAGTGCGCTATGCCAATTGGGTGTCTGCACTAAGTTGGGCATCAATATGGTGACCTCCCACCATCAATATGGTGACCAGGTTGCCTAAGGAGGGGTGAACCGGCCCAGGCTGGAAATGGAGCAGGTCAAAACTCCCCTGCCAATCAGTAGTGGGATCGTGGCTGTGAATAGCCACTGCACTCCAGCCTGGGCAACAAAGCGAGACCCCGTCTCTTTAAAAAAAAATTCAGAAGCCATAATATGACATTTCTAATAGTACATTAAACTACAGATGCTTGAAGCAAGCTACTCATTACAGATTGTGAAGAAGGTCATCTCTACCTAAACTACTGAGAGTCAAAATGGATCCATCCATTTTCATTATCAATTCTTGCCCTGTCACTTCTGAGATTATCTTCAAAGATGCCATGACCTAAAAAACTTGAAGGGCACTGTGGAAACATTAGTAATGTTTGATATAAGCGATTACGCATACTTTTCTGAAGCTTCTATTGCAAAATTCACTTATGCTGAGGAGAGGATGAGTACTAATCCAAGCATATTAACAGACAATAGGGACAGGAGCACAACTCCATATCCTTTGTAGTTCATTCCCTTTCCCAAATTGTTTCTATTCCTATTCCCATGTTCTCGTATGAGAATATGTGAAAAGAAAAGATGTGTGGGTATCACAGGCCCTGAATAAGTAGTACATATATTTTAATACATTTATAGGTTTCCAGCAAACAGCAATAATGTTTCCAAAACAGAATACATTTTAGATCAATGTATTATCTTCTTAAAATGTAATCTATTACCCACTTTTTTTTTTGAGACAGGGTTTTGCTCTGTTGCCCATGTGGCAGTGCAGTGCAATGCAGTTATCACAGCTTACTGTAACTTTGATCTCCTGGGCTCAAGGAATCCTCCTGTATAACCCTCGCCAGTAGCTGAGGTCACAGGCACCGCACCCATCAAATTATTTTTTGTAGAGATGGGGTCTTGCTATGTTGCTCATACAGTCTCAAACTCCTCAACTCAAGCAATCCTTCTGCTTTGGCCACCCAAAGTGCTGGAATTACAGGCGTGAGCCACCGTGCTGAGTCCCCAGACACTTTTATTAAGTGTTTGTGTTCAAGTAGGAATTCATATATTTGTGTAGCACTTTTTTTTTTTTTTGAGAGAGAGTTTCGCTCTTGTTACCCAGGCTAGAGTGCAATGGCTCGATCTCGGCTCACCGCAACCTCCGCCTCCTGGGTTCAGGCAATTCTCCTGCCTCAGCCTCCTGAGTAGCTGGGATTACAGGCATGTGCCACCATGCCCAGCTAATTTTTTGTATTTTAGTAGAGACGGGGTTTCACCATGTTGACCAGGATGGTCTTGATCTCTTGACCTCGTGATCCACCCGTCTCAGCCTCCCAAAGTGCTGGGATTACAGGCTTGAGTCACCGTGCCCAGCCTTGCATAGCACTTTTTAAAACAGATGTTTTGCAATGAGTATTTCTTTTACAACTGGAGATATTTTTTAACGTAAGATAATTTTTTAAAACATGAAATTATTAAGTGGTAGCAAGCAAAAAATACTGGATTATTTACCTTTGCCTTTTCATGCCTGGCTTCATCTGTTGTGAAAGCAGGTTGATGGGTTTAAGAACGTTATTATGCTGAATACTCTGCCTGATGGTTTCTACTAAAGTGCTTGTTTCTTGTTGTTCCTCTGACAGGAGAGATGATTTCTTTTCAGAATCTAACAGTAAGAACACAGTAAGTTTTTTCAATTATTATTACTGTTTTTATCATTGTCTTTTTTTTTTGAGACAAGGTCTCACTCTGTCCCCCAGGCTGGAGTGCAGTGGCTTGTTCATGGCTCACTGCCACCTTCACCTCCCAAGCTCCCAAATAGATGGGACTACAGGTGTATGCCACTATGCCCAAATAATTTTTGTATTTTTTGTAGAGATAAGGTCTCATAATGTTGCCCAGTTTGGTCTCAAACGCCTAGGCTCAAGCAACCTGCCTCCCAAAGTGCTGGGATTATGGGTGTGAGCCATCATGCCTGGTCCCAATTATTTTAAAAGTTGTTTTTTTTTTTTTTTGCAGAGTTGTGGCATTTTCTCTTTGCTTATGCAATATCACCTCCCCGCCACTAGTAAAATTCTGTGGCAATGTGCCCAACTACAAATATTTTTCCTGCTTCCTTCACACAGACAGACCTGTCATTCTGCCTTTCTCTTCCAATATATGGTGGCTTACTGCCTAAGGCTGAGATGTGATAGATTGTACTCCAGCAGCCATCCTGTGACCATGAAGCAGTCTTTACTGACAGTAAAGCAGATATAACAGAAGGAACCTGGGTCCCTGATGACAGAGGAGTTGCCTAGCAGTACTAAACTGTCTAGTATATAACTTCTTTCCTTTGTAAAAATGTATTTACTTATTTATTTTTTAGAGACAGGATCTCATTCTGTTGCCCAGGTTGGAGCACAGTGGCTGATCATTATAACCTTTAACTCCTGGGCTAAAGCAATCCTCCCCACTCAGCCTCAAATAGCTAGGACTACAGGCATGCACCACCATAGTCAGCTAATTTATTTTATTTTTGTAGAGAAAGGGTCTTATTATATTGTCCAGGCTAGTCTCAAACTCCTGGCCTCAAGCAGTCCTCCTTCCAAAATCACTGGAATTATAAGCATAAGCCAACATGTCTGGCCTTATTTTTAACTGAAAAATACAGTTTTAAATAAAAACTGTATTTACTTATGGTGTACAACATGATGTAATTCATAACTTCTTTCTAGACAGTGTTTCACTCTGTCAGCCAGGCTGGAGTCCAGTGTGGTGCAATCATAGCTCACTGCAGCCTTGACCTCCTGGGCTCAAGCAATCCTCCAGCCTCAGCCTCAAGTAGCTGACACTACAGGTGCATGCCACCACACCTAGCTAATTTATTTTTATTTTTTGTAGAGATGATATCCCACTATGCCCAGACTGGTCTCAAACTCCTGTTCCCAAGTTATCCTCCACCTTGGCCTCCAAAAGACCTAGCCTGATTCACTTAGTCTAATAACTTTATATGAGAGAATAATCTTCACCCACTTCTGTCACTTTCTATTACATAGTAGAGTCTAGTGCTAATTAGAAGAGTGGCTCATGCTTGTAATCCCAACACTTTGGGAGGCCGAGGTGGACAGATCACCTGAGGTTGGGAGTTTAAGACCAGCCTGACCAACATGGAGAAATCCCATCTCTACTAAAAATACAAAATTAGCTGGGTGTGGTGGCACATGCCTGTAATCCCAGCTACTAGGGAGGCTAAGGCAGAAGAATCTCTTGAACCCGGGTGGCAGAGGTTGCAGTAAGCCGAGATTGCACCAGTGCACTCTAGCCTGGACAACAGAAGCAAAACTCTGTCTCAAAAAAAAAAAAAAAGAAAGAAATTCTGAAACTATTAAGAGGTTTTGTTTTTTTTTTGAGACGGAGTCTCCAGGCTAGGGTACAGTGGCGGAATCATAGCTCACTGCTGCATAGAATTCCTGGACTCAAGTGCTGGGATTACAGGTGTAAGCTATCACACCCAGCCACATTTTCCTTTTTTTTTGAGATGGAATCTTGCTGCAATGCCCAGGCTGGAGTGCAATGGTGCGATCTTGGCTCACTGCAACCTCTGCTTTCTGAGTTCAAGTGATTCCCCTGCCTCAGCCTCCCAAGTAGCTAGGATTACAAGCATGCACTGCCATGCATGGCTAATTTTTTAAAAAATATTTTTAGTAGACACAGGGTTTCACCATATTGGCTAAGCTGGTCTTGAACTCCTGACCTCAAGTGATCCACCTGTCTTGGCCTCCCAAAGTGTTGGGATTACAGGCATTAGCCACCACACCAGGCCTCTATTTTCCCTTTTTTAAATATAAAGTTATATTTCACTTCATACTAATATGACTGAATTTTTAAAATATGTTTATATTACAGACTGAATTGTGTCACCCCCAAATTCATATGTTGAGGCCCTAATTGGAAATGTGACTCTATTTGGAGATGAGGCCTTTAAAGAAATAATTAAGATTACATGAGGACATTAAGAGTGGGGACCTAATCTAATATGGCTGGTGTCTTTATAAGAAAAGGAGACACCAGGGATGTGTGCATGTGCATGCATGCAAACACAGAGAGAAAAGGTTACGTGGGCATACAGCAAGAAGGTAGCCAGCCATCCACAAGCCAGAGAGAGGCCTAGAAGAAACCAAACCTGCTGATCCCTTTCTAGATTTTACATTTCCAGCCTCCAGAGAACTGTGAAAAAATATATTCCTGTTGTTAAAGCCACCCAGTTTATAGTATTTTATTATGGAAGCCCTAGCAAACTAACACAGTTTGAAAGCCACTTAATGTTTTTCCCATGAATTATCTATATTAATATTATTTGCTCATTTATCTACTGAATTGTTTGTATTTTTCTTATTGACTCATAAAGCTTCTGAATACATGAATAATAACCCTTTAAACCCCTTGTAAAAATATATTCTAAATATAAAAGATTAAAAATGAAGCCAGAACCTTTAAAACCAGTCAGTATCCATCAATACAACTGAACTTAGGATCTTATACCAATACATCTAAATTACTCTTCTGCTACATAGAATTTACTCTCAAAATACCCAACCAAACTCTTACTTGATAAAAAAAAAAAATCACCAAAAAATTACTCAACTCAATTGAGACCTGTCACAGTTAAAAACAGGTCAGTACAATAGCAAATCACTTTTTCATTTTCGTGTGTACTTTTTTTTTTACAATTGCAAATCATTTTGAATTAATTAAAAAAAATTTTTTTTTTTTTGAGACAGAGTTTCACTCTTGTTACTCAGGCTGGAGTGCAATGGCGCGATCTTGGCTCACTGCAACCTCCACCTCCTGGGTTCAGGCAATTCTCCTGCCTCAGCCTCCTGAGTAGCTGGGATTACAGGCACGCGCCACCATGCCCAGCTAATTTTTTGTATCTTTAGTAGAGACGGGGTTTCACCATTTTGACCAGGATGGTCTCCATCTGTTGACCTCATGATCCACCCGCCTCGGCCTCCCAAAGTGCTGGGATTACAGGGTTGAGCCACTGCGCCCGGCCAAAAATCTTTACATAAAGGAAAATAATTTGCTTTTCTCTATTTAACTCTAGGGAAATTTAGCTTAATTCTGTCCCTTTTATTCCCCCAGCAGCCCGTTCTTTATCATGGAACAATATCCTACAACATGGATGGACTGTACCACAACTTGCTTATCCAGTCATCTATGGATGCATATTTCAGTTGTTTCCGTTTTGAGTATTTTATGTCTTTAATTCTTTGTTTTGTTTTGTTTGAGACACAGTCTTGCTCTGATACCCAGGCTGGAGTGCAGTAGCGTGACCTCGGCTCACTACAACCTCCGCTGCCCGGGTTCAAGCGATTCTCGTGCCTCAGCCTCCAGAGTAGCTGGGACTACAGGTGCCCGCTACCACACCTGGCTAAGTTTTGTATTTTTAGTAGAGACAGAGTTTCCCCATGTTGGCCAGGCTGGTCTCCAACTCCTGGCCTCAAGTGACCCACCCATCTAGGCCTCCCAAAGTGATGGTGTTTCCACTCCCGGCTGTTATGTCTTTAATTCTATTTTACTTACTAAAATTCCTCCAAGAGACATACAGAGGTTCTCTTGGTTCCTGGTGAAGGTTGATATTATCCCATAACAGCTGAATATATACAAGTTTGCTATCCTGGGACAGAGATGACAGAGGAAGCTAAAAGAGATCGAAAGAAAATATTAGTATCCCAAGAATAACAATTACCAGTGAATCTAGTGAAGCTTGGTTATATATACAGATTGAGTCCTCTTAAAATTCTAGACCTAAAATTCACAGACAAAATTTTAATTTTTATTAATGTCTAATTACAAATGTTATTATTTTTTGAAGTAAAGGTTTCTTGGTGTAACTTTTAAAGAATGAGAGACAATTTGCTAACTGGCACAACAGTTATAGAAAGATTAATCACCATTACAGCAAATTTTAAGGTCAAAGTGCGAGTTTCTACTACCTTACCAAATAATTTTGTTTTGTCTACTATTACTTAAAATAAATGAGTCAAACTAGAGTTTATAGTACTTCAAGGAAAGAATTTATTTTATACCAGGTATATGTTTGGGGTGTGACTGTCCATCAATATTCAACACTATAAAATAGGCCGGGCGCAGTAGCTCACACCTGTAATCCCAGTACTTTGGGAGGCCAAGGCAGGTGGATCACCTGAGGTCAAGAGTTTGAGACCAGCCTGGCCAACATGGTGAAACTCCATATCTACCAAAAATACAAAAATTAGCCAGGCGCAGTGGTGGATGCCTGTAATCTCAACTACTCAGGAGGCTGAGGCAGGAGAATTGCTTGAACCTGGGAAGTGGAGATTGCAGTGAGCTAAGATCACGCCACTGTACGCCAGCCTGGGTGACAGTGGGATTCCGTCTCATAAAACAAATAAACAAAAAAAACTATAAAATAAAGCATTCTAGGAACTCACTGTCTCTAATGGAATCAGGATCCCAGAATAAGTAGAATAGGGGCTTATAAATCAAACAGCCAGACTGTGACTTTGGCTCTCCTCTCCATCACCTATTAGGTATGTCACCTTACAGAAATTACTGAATTATTCTAACTTTTAATTATAACATCTCAAAAATATGGATAATATGAGTCCTTTCAAATAAGTACTCATATTATTTCATTTGAATTTTTAAATTGCTTTGAGAATTGCAGCTGGGAATAGAACACTTAAGAATAACAGCTACCAGCCCGGCGCAGTGGCTCACACCTATAATCCCAGCAATTTGAGAGGCTGAGGCGGGTGGATCACCTGAGGTCAGGAGTTCAAGATCAGCCTGGTCAACATAGTGAAACGCTGTCTCTACTAAAAATACAAAAATTAGCCAGGTGTGGTTGTAGGTGCCTATAATCCCAGCTACTTGGAAGGCTGAGACAGGAGAATCACTTGAACCCGGGAAAAGGAGGTTGCAGTGAGCCAAGATCGCACCATTGCACTCCAGCCTGGGCAAGAAGAAGAAGTAGAAAAAAAAGAATAAAAGCTACCTTTTCTAGCTACCCTTGTAGATAGATATGACCTAATAACTGAGTTCAGGCCAAGAAAATATATGTGGAAATATTATCTACAACTCCAGGAGCTGTCCCTTAAGAAAGAAGACATACTCTCCCCTCCATCCCTTTTTCTCCTAACTGCTGGATAAAAAGTGGATGTGATAGTTTGGAGGGAATCAGCCATCTGGACCAGAAGCACAACTTGGAAATGAGGGTTAAGCATAGCTAAGCAAGAATATAGACAGATTTTAGGCTCCGAACACTTTACAATTCCAGGACTGCTTATCCAAACTTTTAAGTGAGAAAGAAAGAAACTTGTCTTGTTAAGCTACTGTTGTTGTTGTACACTTTCAGAAGCTTAAAGTTAAGTCTCATCCTACCCAATACTAATGTAATGTAAGTATAAAAGTTGGCACCCTACCTGTACACCTTCATTACAATGTTCAGATGTGAGGATAAGTCCTGGCAAGTTACTAGGAAGGTCCAAACGTCTGAAATACCAAACGAGGTTCCAGAAAATGATTGGATGTTGATTGATGAAAGAAGATGTATGAATCACCTGATCACCTTCATTTTCTAGCAAAGACTCAAGTTCTTTACGAAGCACTAGAGGACTCAAGTAGGGCACAGAAACAGGGGGAGGATTGGGCCTTTTTCCTAAAGGATCCTTCAAAAAAATACAAAAAGAAATTAATATTATCTGTTTAAATCTGTATGCTCAAGAGTACTTCTTAATGAGATTATGCCTCTCTATTCTTTTTAAATCAGTTATTTCAGGACCATTGCTACATGCAGAATACCCTAATGAATAACCTAAAAAAGAAAATACTTAAATACTGTTAAGTTAAATCATTACAAAAGAAAATTAATCAACAGACTCTTTAAAACATATTCTCTATCACATTGAGAGCAATGGCCTGAATGTATTAGGCTTTTTTTCAATTTTTATAAGAAATATTTGCATTTCAGATGATTTATAGTAATATGTGTGTAAAAACTATGTGACATTATCTTACTCCTACAACTCTAAACTGATGGGCCAATCTTTCGTATTAACATTTTTTGTTGACTTAACTCACTTTTACAACTGATTGCAACAAAAACTGAAGGAATTAAAGAAATCGCATTTTAAAAATTCAATTCAAAAATTCAAATGAAATAAGAAATGAAAATAACCTAACCTAGACTTTTGGAGTTATGCATATTATAATCAGGATAAAATGTTTAAAACTCTCTCATTAACAGTGAGTCCCCCTCATGCCTACACTGTGGTCTCCAAAATCATTTCGCTCTAAATTGACCCATGGTTTCTAGGTCTGGGTAAGAATGTATGTAACATAAGCATGAAACCTTGTTATATAAGAAAGCAAGAAAGCTTTTTTAAAAATTGCAAAAAAGCTACTAGAGTTGTATCAAAAGGACTAATGAGCTAACTTGTAGAGGCTTCTAGCTGACCAAAGAGAATAATATAAGCATCAACAAGGATAAAAACAGCAATAGATTTAAAGATAAATGTTTAAGGCACGGTGGTATGTGCCTGTACTTCCAGTTACTAGGGAGGCTGAAGCAGGGGAAGTTTCTGTTTATAATGTATTCCTTACTATAAAGAAGAAATGACAGAATTAGACTATTATCATATTATAGCTCCTAATAAATTATTTTATCTAGTTATTAAGACATTAATAGCTACTAATGTTTGTGTCTCCTGCTGCGAGGAACATACCACCACTGATGAAACTGTCATAAAAATGAACAAGCAAATGAACAATAAAACAAAACCCCCAAATCTGATCAACGTTCTGGATACAAATTCCACTTTTATCACTGCAATCAGCAAAATCTGGATTACGGGAAACTATACTCTAACCAGTTTTATCAACAAATAAATTGCAAAGGGAAAAAGGAATCTACAGATTCAAAAAGACTAAAAACCATACCAACCAACTGTAATAAATGGACTTTATTTGATCCTGATTCCTCAAGCTACAACCCACACACGTATGCATTTGACATTTTTGAGACAATCAGAAATCTGAACTGACTAAATAACTTGATAATATTATTTGGGAGTTTTTTTGTATGATAGAAGCAGTGTGGTTATATTTTTCTAAAGTCCTCATCATTTAGGTACAAATACTGAAATATTTACTAACAGAATTACAATGTTTGAAATTTGCTTCAAAATAATCTCAAAAAAAAAGAGAACCGAATGAGAGTATACATAAAAGAAGAATGGCTATACACTGAAAATTATCCAAGCTAGATGATGGGTCAAGGGACTCATTTTGTTTATTTTTGTGCATATTCAAAATTCCCCACAATAAAAAGCTATTTGTTTATGGAAAAATCCTAATCTATCACTTTTCATGTAATTTAGAAAAATCTACTACAAAGAGTTTATAATATTCTACTATATACTTAGATGTGTATGCAGTAAAATTACAATGTTGTTACATACCACAACTTCCTGCAGACTGTTTGGAAGACTGACTGTTGAAATGCCATGAAATGGTCGCTGGGTAAAGTCAATATTCTGCAAGGGGCCTCCAACACTGTGACTTCGAGTCAAAGATACATTTCGCTTTGATAAACTATTAGGCACTGATGAAATTTTCATAGTTTGGACATCTCCATTGGCTCTCTTTATTTCATCACTTAAAAAAATGTAGAAGAAATGCCATGTTCATGTTGAAAAACAGTCTAAATCTGTAGAGCTAGAGTATTTTCTGCAATGGACCACGAGTCTACTAAATATATCTAAGAAGAATTCAGTACCACCTTGTAAGAACTGCATTTTCTTTAGGCAGTTTTGTAAAACTGGTCAGAAAAACAGGATGGAGCAGATAGTTCTGGTGAGGAGTGGGAAGATGACATATTGTAGATATACAGGTTATTACTTTAAAAAGACAAGTACCCATTCAGTTGCTTTACTCAAATATTATTTTGTCTTTATTAAACAAAATTACCTATAAGTATGCTACATGCAAATAAGTATGTAAAGACACTGACAATTATTTAATCTCTACTGGGCTGTGATCCACCTAAGGAGAGAGTCCCAATCATATTTACTTTTTTATTTTTAGAGCTTAGCATAATATTTAGCACACAATAGAGTCTCAATAAATGTTCGATTCAATTAGTAGTTAAGGCTCAAGTGTACATTTCACAGAAAATAATATTTCTCCTCTGAAAATTGGCAATGACTACATTAAATGGAAATATTTTACTGTTGAGAAGTTCATTTTCCAAAAGACTACTATAAAATATTAAACTTAGTTCAAAAATGGTTTATCATCAGATTCATTCATTAGCTCTTTAAACACTACGTGGTAATAAAAAGTTAGGATGTACTTTTAAATGCTAGAACGTATGCCCACATGAGTCAGGTTGTCTTTAGAGACAGAATTTTTACAAGGGTACCCCATTTCTTATATAAAGAAGTCTCTGTACTTTTTGGTACCTTGGTTCAACTGCAGAGCCTATTTCTTCAGTTATAGTCTGGTTATGTTTTGGGAAATCCATAAAGTTGATCAAGTCAGGTTCTGCTAAACTGGATACAGGTTTGTGCTCCAAGGATTCATTTGCCAATGGAATGCTTCCACTCTGTAAACTATCACCAGAGGTACTTGGTTTCAGGAAAAAGCTACACATGGAAAAGCGGGGGAAAAGAGCCTTTAAAAATCGTCTAGTCTTCTAAAATCTATCATATTTAGAATCATTTTATTGATAAAGGAATCATTAATAAAATTATATATATTCCAGAAGGAAAATGCTGCCCATTTCAAACACATACACACACACACACTCTCTCTCTCTCTCTTTTTTTTCCTCTCTCTCTCTCATATTCCTGTTATCTTATCTTCCCCTCCTATGGTAAACTTTTCAAATAAAAGGTTGGAAGTAGTCCAATAAAAGATCTTTCCATTTTTGAGAACCACTAAAGAAAACTAGGAAGGAAGAGGGGAAGCAAAATATTTTATTAATTTCCTGATTTTTAAAAAAAATAAAGAAGAGCTGCTGCAGCAACATTTTAAGATATGTTAATCTATAATTGTTTATAATGCCCCTTTTTATCACTTATAAATCTCCATCTTGTTTCTAGTCATTTCTTCTCTGTTCATTGCTTTATTTCCATCTTATCTCTCTCCTTCACTTTTTGGGTGGGGACTCGGGGAGGGAAGGGCCTTGTGAGGAACATTCAATAATTTTCTGAGGTAATGGTAATGTTTTCTAAGGGTTTAATTTTTGCACAAATGCATGCATTTATACTTCAAATGGAATGTTTAAGATTTGTACATTTTGTTGTATAACAATTTATCTCAAAAGAAAGAAATATGTCAATAAATAATGAGCTCTAGTTAATGATATGTATACCAAAGTCTTTGGGGAAGAAATATATTAATATCTCTATCTTACCTTCAAATGAGTAAAAATTTAAGACAGATTGGTGGAGAGACAGACAGGTGATAAACTAAGCATAGTAAAGCAGAAATTGAAAGACGTGGGGTAGAGATATTTGGGTGTTCATTGAAAAAACCTTTAAACTTTGTTGTAAGCTTGAAATTTTCTATAACAACATATTCAGGGGACAGACTTAATAATGCTCCTTTATACCCAATTTGAAAAATATAAAATAAAATGCTTGTCAAAATAGCTTAAAAACACAATTAACTCAACAAAAAACGATAGGACTTATGGAGAATAATTAAAAGCTGTGTTAAAGGACATGAAAGAAGATCTGAAAAAAAAATACAGAGATATACCAGGCTCATAGATAAGACAATATTAGAAAAGTCCATTTTCCCCAAGTTAATCTATAAATCTAATGCAATCTCAAGGAAAAGTCTAGTTGTGCATATGTCTGTGTGAGTGTAGTGTTTTTGAAGACCTCAAACAATCTAAGAATTCATAGGAAAAAGTAAGCACACAAAATATAATAACAATAAAATCCTAGAGCGGGAACTCACCCTACTAACCAGATGTAACACAAAGACCAAGTGACAAAAACAATATGGCATTAAGAAGAACAGCAAGAAAATGCAGAACCAAGTGAGGTATACATGGAAACTGAAATATGATAAAGGTGATACTACGTATCAGTGAGAAAAGGATCAGTTACTTAGCAGATAATATTGGGATAACTGGATTTTTATATGGAGGAAAAATAAAAGCTGGATCTCTACCATCGTATATGAAAAGTAAAATCCAGATATATTAAAGACCTAAATATCAAAAGTAAAATATAAGCAAAAACGTTCAAGGAGAAAACTTTCACGTCCTAGTATAGGGAACAACTTTTAAAGCAAGATTCTAAAAGTACAAATTGCAAGGTAAAAAATTAATGGATAATGACATCAAAATTAATGCTTTCTCTTCAAAAAATTAGTATCAATATTCAAGTCAAATCAACAGGAAAAAGAAACAATAGAAAAATAGGCAATGAATATAAGGAGGCAATTCGCAGAAAATGCTAGACTAGGCTAGGTGCAGTGGCTAAAGCCTGTAATCTCAGCACTTTGGGAGGCCAAGGTATGGGGGGGATCACCTGAGGTCAGGAGTTCAAAACCAGCCTGGCTAACATGGCGAAACCCTGTCTCTACTAAAAAGATAAAAATTAGCTGGGCGTGGGGGAGGACGCCTGTAATCCCACCTACTCGGAAGGCTGAGTCAGGAGAATCACTTCAACCCAGGAGGCAGAGGTTGCAGTAAGCCGAGATTGCGCCATTACACTCCAGCCTGGGCAACACGAGTGAAACTGGCTCCAAAGAAAAATTTCTAGAATAACAAATAATTAAGAGACACTCAAATTTGTTAGTATAGAGACAAATTCAAACTGTCAAAATTTAAAAAGTGATAATACCAAATGCTGGTAAGGCCATATAGAAATGAGAATTTCTGGGAGGCCGAGGCAGGCAGATCATGAGGTCAAGAGATCGAGACCATCCTGGCCAACATGGTGAAACCCCATCCCTACTACAAATACAAAAATTAGCTGGGCGTGGTAGCACATGCCTGTAGTCAGTCCCAGCTACTTGGGAGGCTGAGGCAGGAGAATTGCTTGAACCCAGGCGGCGGAGGTTGCACTGAGCTGAAATCACACCACTGCACTCTAGCCTGGCAACAGAGTAAGACTCCGTCTCAAAAAAAAAAAAAAAAAAGAGAGAATTCTTGAGTACTACTTCTTGTGGGAGTGTAGCCATCTGGGAAGCAATATTTTGTGTTTACTAAAATCATGTATGAAAATGATCTCACTCCAAGGATTATTTATTTCTGAGAGAAACTACTTCACAAGTCCAAAAGGGCATATGTATTTTGCAGTGCACTGCATTACCACAGTGACGTCTGTAGTAATAGACTGAAAGCAATTGAAGTATCTAACACTAGAATAATGGATAACTACAAAGATATATTAAATTACTATAGGAAAACAGGCATAAACCGGATATAAATACAGTAACTCAGATTTTAAACTGAGTACTAAAAAGAAATAAATTGAGATATATATCACACTTAGCAGTCAGTGTCTTTGTAGAATAAGGGAATGAGGGTGGGAATGGGGAAAGGAGAATAAAAACAAGAAGGCCCCTGCACAGGCCAAAGATGTTAGTGTGTCAGGAATTAAAGAGTATGATTTGACTTAGCTTCATGCCTGAAGCTAAAAGAAAAACAGAAGAAACACCTCTACAATTAAATGTTTTTGTTTGTTTTTGAGATGGAGTCTCACTCTGTAGCCCAGGCTAGAGTGCAGTGGCATGATCTCAGTTCACTGCAACCTCCACCTCCTGGGTTCAAACCATTCTCTTGCCTCAGTCTCCTGAGTACCTGGGACTACAGGCATGTGCCGCCATGTCTGGCTAACCTTTTTGTGTATTTTTTATAGAAATGGGGATTTGCCATGATGCGCAGGCTGATCTTGAACTCCTGACATCAAGTGATCCACCTGCCTTGGCCTCTCAAAGTACTGGGATTACAGGCATGCGCCATCGCACCCAGCCTAAATTTTTTTTTTTTTTTTTGAGACAGAATCTCGCTCTGTCACCCAGGCTGGAGTGCAGTGGCGCAATCTCAGCTCACTGCAACCTCCGCCTCCCAGGTTCAAGTAATTCTCCTGCCTCAACCTCCTGAGTGGCTGGGACTACAGGCGCATGCCACCACACCTGGTTAATTTTTTTGTATTTTAGTAGAGACAGGGTTTCACCATGTTGCCCAGGCTGGTCTCAAACTCCTGAGCTCTGACAATCTCCTTGCCTTGGCCTCCCAAAGTGCTACGATTACAGGTGTGAGCTCCTGTACCCAGCAATGTATTGTTTTAAAGCAGCTAAAGACAGAAAATAATAAAAAGTTCAATTTGTTCCATAAAATGAACAGAATATTAAGTATACTCCCTTAGGTCAGCATAGTGTTACCAAACTCTCAATTATTGAATGTGTGATTATAGATCAGCTAGTCTCCTTTCTGTTGCCTAGAATTTGGTCATTTAACTGCACTGAACACTACCAGGAAGTGCAAGTGACAAGAGAAGAGTTGAAGCTTTTTCTTCCCCCTTTGCTTCTTTTAAAATACATATTCAAAGCAGTTTCAAACTCCCGGGTTCATGCAATCCTCCTGTCTCAGCCTTTCTAGTAGCTGCACACTCCCATGCCCAGCCAATTGAAAAAAAATTTTTTTGTAGAGACAGAGTCTTGCCATGTTGCCCAGGCTGGTCTTAAACTCCTGACCTCAAGAAATCCTCCCACCTGGGCCTCCCAAAATGTTGTGATTACAGGCATGAGCCATGGCACCTGGCTGATAATCCTATTTTAAATAAAATGGAAAAGTAGACTACCACATTACTAGTATTCGTACTCAAATACTGAAGGTGAAGGATAGACAGGAAGGCAGACCTGGGGCATACCACGAATATTTCACTCTTCTCCCAGAACTCATGTCTTTTGGGGGTGCTTATTTCTTGAGGGAGCTTTTATAATACTAACCTTGCAGAACCTCTCAAATCTTTGAATTCTATATTGAGAAGAGGCAAGAAGTTGCTTTTACAGAATGGACAAGTTGTATTCAAATTTGAATCATCTGCTGTCCATCCAGCCATGATTTCTTCATCGTAGACTAAAGCTTCACAAGCTGTACACTGTGAACAACTGGACATCAAAACCTAAAAACATAAAATCGCAGACACTGAGAACCTCTAATTAAAATTAATCTTAACAGGCATTCTCTTGAGATAATGGGATTTTATTTATTCCATTGATCAAATTTGGAATTATTAACAGTTCTATTATTTCACAGGTGAACTACCAGTTCATTATTTTACATAGGACAACAAGCAAATTCAGCAAAATGACTTACTTTATTATATATACTGTCCCCAAGGGTATCATAGAATCCTGTTAAATGCCAATCTGAAATAAAAATATGCTTACAGCTACTTTATCATGAACTGAATATAGAACTTTTACCTCCATTGCACAATTCTGATAGATGCTAGACATGCTGGTATTTTGAGAAGAACCATGATCTGATTTTTCAAACTCTTGTCCTTTCATACCTCTTGGAAATGGAACTTCACCTACAAAGGAATACACATCATAAAACCTTATGTAAGGAATGACCTTATTTTTTAAAAATGTATGCCAAAGTATTTACGGGAGACATACCATAAAGTCTGAAATGTTTTTTAATTGGCTCAATATAAAAATGTATGCATACATAGAGATAAAGTTAACAATAGTTAATTAAATCTAGTTGGAAAATACATGATTGTTCATTATATAATTCTTTCAACTTTCAGGACATTTGAATTTTTTTTTTTTTTGAGATGGAGTCTTGCTCTGTCACCCAGGCTGGAGTACAATGGCATGATCTCGACTCACTGCAACTTCTGCCTCCTAGGTTCAAGCGATTCTCCTGCCTCAGCCTCCCAAGTAGCTGGGATTACAGGTGCATGCTGCCACGGCTGGCCAATTTTTTTTTGTATTTTAGTAGTGACAGGGTTTCACTGTGTTGCCCAGGTTGGTCTCGAACTCCTGAGCTCAGGCAATCTATGCGCCTCGGCCTTCCAAAGTGCTAGAATTACAGGTGTGAGCCACCATGCCTGGCCTAGACATTTGAAATTTTTATGATAAAAAGTCAAAGAAAAAGAAAAGAATTACAATTTTAAAAAGTAATATGGAGTAAGAAACTTCAATGACACAGCCTAGGGATTCTCAAACTCTGGTATATGTCTGATTCACCCAGAGAGCTGCTTAAAAAATACACATCCCAAGGCCCCACCTCACAAATTCAGTTTTAGAAGTTTTAGTGTAAGGCTTGGACATTTGCATATATTTTAAAACAATTTCCCCAGATTATTCTGATGCATGCCAAAGTTTGAGAACTAATGATATAGCTCACAAATATATACAACCAAAAACAAAGGCAGTAGGTGATCATAGTAGTTATAAATCATGTAAGATCAGAATAGTTGGTAAGGCAGCTAGTATTAAAAATGACTCAGTCATCTCAACAAATGAAGATTGTTGGGGAGCAAGAAAGTTATAGGCATCTAAATTAAAATAAGCAAAGACAGGCCAGGTGCTGTGGTTCACACCTGTAATCCCAGCACCTTGGGAGGTTGAGGCAGGCAGTCTGCTTGAGCCCAGGAGTTCGAGACCAGCCTAGGCAACATGACAAAATCCTGTCTCTTGAAAAAAAAAAAATTTTTTTTAAATAAAAATAATAATTTAAAAAAAAAAAAAAGCAAAGACTATTATGAAGCAAATGAAGAAAGGAAAATCCTTCCCCATACCTGTTGGATAATGCAGCTTTCCTACATCTCCACTACTGCTGCTACTGCCAAGGCTTGTGTTGCTCTGAGTAAGTTCACTGGGGACCAACCCTGAGATACTTGTGTTAGGCGACACATTCTCCCCCAAAATATGGTCTTCAAGGCCAGCTGGGAAGCTGTAGTCTCTACTAGTTTCTTCCTTTAATTGAAAAAAATAAAATTCCACATACATATATAATACCTTCTCCAATGGGAACATACTCACTCTACCCTTTTCAGAAAACTCTATAATTCTTAAACAAATCATCATCCCCCCATTTTTCAAAACCATGAATTGGAACTTCCCTTCTACACTCTAAGACATTCAAGCCATAAGCAACAATACTTTAAGAAAGATCATGTCGTGCCTCAGGGGCATGGGGGAGGTCTGGGTGTCTCTCAATATTCAATTGTATAAAATAACAGTATTCTAGGGAGCTCACTGTCTCCAATGGAATCAAGGATCCTAGTACAAGCAGAGTAGGGGCTTCCAAGTCAGACAGCCAGATTGTGACTTTCTTCACCACTATTTATTAGGTATGTAACCTTACAGAAATTACTAAACTTCTCTAAATTTTAATTATATAATCTGAAAATATGGATAATATGAGTTGTTTCAAATAAGGCTGTTGTGATCATTTCTGCTAGGAATATGAATGTTCAGAATAACAAATATCAATATTAGAGGCACAAAATATGAATAAAGTTTCAAACACTGTAGTTCTTAACTACATAAGTGATTGTTGATGGAAAAACATTTCAATAATCAGGTTTTCTGCTTTAAAAATAAAATATTTGTCTTCCTTGTTATAAAAATCATGTTAAATGATTTTAAAAAATTAAATAGTTAAGTAAAACAAGGAATAAAAAACGCTTATGATACCAATAGAGAATAAAATCAAAATCTTGATATATAGTCTTCTAGTCATTTAAAATATACATATAAAATCATATAATAAATCTTTACAAATTAGAATATTGTTTTTAACTTGTACTTCTTATATAACTATTCTAGTGTCATTAAATTTTCTTCTAATTATTTAAACCCCTGTGAACTCATCTGTTTTACTGATACACTATTACATATTTACTAACTCCCCTGTTGCTTAAACATTCAAAATGTTTCAAATATTATATAAATTACATTGGTAAATTCCTCTATTTTTATATAAACCTCTAATTATTTCCTTAAACTCTGGATGAGTTATAAACATTTTATAGGCTTTTTATTCATTCCTTCATTTGTAAATATTTATTAAGTATATCCTAGTTGTCTTTTGCCAGGCATTGCTTACTGGTGCCAGGGCTACTACAACAATGAAAAGACAAGATCAGATCTATGGTGACTCAGAATTTACAGTGTTATATATTCCAAGTTCAAATAACCCTGTGGGATGTATTTTTGTTTTTAACAGATAATTTTTTAGGGAGCAGGAAGGGGAGATAGGGTCTCTGTCACCCAGGCTGGAGTGCAGTGGTGTGACCTTGTATCACTGCAACCTCTGCCTCCTGGGCTCAAGCTATCCTCCCACCTCATCTTCCAGAGGGACTAGAGGTGAATGCCACCATGCCCAGTTAATTTTTGTATTTTTTAGTATAGAGAGGGTTTCCCCATGTTGCCGAGGTTACTCTCAAACTCCTGGGCTCAAGCAATCTGCCCACCTCAACCACCAAAAGTGCTGGAATTAGAGGCATGAGTCCTCATATCCAACTTCGATAAAATTTCAAAAATAAAATGAAGGCTGAAATGAAGGCTGGGTGCAGTGGCTCATGGCTGTAATATCAGCACTTTGGGAGACCTAGGAACACTTGAGCCCAGGAGTTCAAGACCAGCCTGGGCAACATAGCAAGACCCTATCTCTACAAAAAATAAAAAATTAGAAGGCATGGTAGAGCAATCAGGAGGCTGAGGCAGGAGGACTGCTTGAACCCAGGAGATCAAGGCTACAGTAAGCCATGTCTGTGCCACTGTACTCCAGCCTCAGTAAAAGAGCAAGCCCCATCTCAAAAAATAAAGTAAAAAGAAAATAAAATGATATACTTTTTTTTTTCCTCATAATGCCAGGTTAAGACACTTTGGAAGCTATTTTATTTTGTCTTCTCTTGACTGACTTGATAAGCTCTTTAAATAAAAAGTTAATTTATAATGCTCAATACTATAATTTTAATTCAATTATTATTTTGCCTATAAAGTTTTCCTTCAAATGGTATAAAAGTCTTATTTGTCTAATTTCTTTTCCTATGTCTCTAATTCTGATTTAGACCTTTATACAGTCTACAATTGATTATCTTGAAAGTGCATGATATTTTAAGCTTTCATGCCATTTCACAGTATTCTTTCAGATATACTCTTCTGACAATCCTCTTACAGCTTTAACTCCAAATGTCAAATGTATCCTTCAAATCCCAACTTAGATATCACCTGCTTTGCTTTTTTTTTCCTGGATAGCCCCCAACATGAACCTCTTTTCATATATTGCTCTTTGGTATCTTCTCTTGAGATATTGCTTCTAAACTAAGAGCCTGGACTCTAGAGCCAATCTCCCTGACTTCAAATCATAGTTCCATCATTCCCTAGTTATGTCATCTTGGGAAGCTAATTAGCCTCTCTGAATTTCATATATCATCTACAAAATCAGGATAACCATAGTACCACCCTCATGGAGTTGCTATGAAAATTAAATACCATGTTTGTATATATTCATATATAAAATAGACATATAGCTTATAACAGTACCTAGGACATACTGTTAAAAAATGACAGCAACATATAGATATCTGCCTTTTCTACTTAAGTATTTAAATATTATACAATTCTTTGCATACAAGGTGACATTTTCATTTTTTTCTGTAAAACAAGCAAAATCTCCCCGCTTTCATTTTCATAGAAAGATCTAATGATTAACTGCTCTATTCATAATGCTTTTTAGAGACAATTATGTTTATCATGTGGTATGAAATCTATGGATTAAGCTGCAGCTTGACTTCACATGTATTAAGGAGATTACATAGGTAAAAATTATTTTAAAAGTGAATACTACACAAATGTAACATGGCATTTTTATTAATTTCAAACGCTAATCATTAGAAGTTTCAAAAAAAAAACACAATGTTTTAGATTAGACTAGTCTATGGAATTATAAAGTAGTCCTGATATTCTATTTCTACATTATTAACTTCTTTACATGTATGTTCAAGTTACTTCAAGAAAGAAACCAAATATGCATAATTTTAAAATATGAAAACCAAAGTTACCAGAACTCTATTAATAATCCCTCACATATTTTTAAAAAGATATACAGACATTCCAGTATCAGATAGACTACACAAAATATAAAAACCAAAATCAGAAATCAGCCGGGAACAGTGGCTCATGCCAATAATCCCAGCACTTTGGGAGGCTGATAAGGGTGGATCACCTGAGGTCAGGAGTTTAAGACCAGCCTGGCCAACATGGCAAAACTTTGTCTCTACTAAAAATATAAAAATTAGCCAGGCTTGGTGGCACACACCTGTAGTCCCAGCTACTCAGGAGGGTAAGGCAGGAGAATCACTCAAACCTAGGAAATGGAGTTTGCAAGTAAGCTAAGATCACGCCACTGCACTCCAGCCTGGGCACAGAAATCTCTTAATAATAATACATATATTTCTAGAAAAATATTATAAACATTCCAATAGCAGACAGACTACACACATCAAGCTTTCTTACCTCATCATCTGAGTAGCTGTAGGCAGATGCAACAGCTACCCACATCTTACTGGCTACTGTCGCTGCTTGTTTCATGCCAGATTTTAGGACATCTATCTTGGGCCCTGAGAGTATATTATCTAGCTTTAATCCTGACAAAGAATTTACTACAGAACCCAGTGAGCCATGCGGCGAAGAACGCACCAGCGCTGACAAAGAAGTTGAATGTTCTTTATGAGTTCGAGAGGGGGTTTGCTGCTTGAAACGCCCAGCAAAAGTTTTAGACCTGGACACTGCAGGTGAGCTCTTTTCACTTTCAGGATTTTCCTGTGCTGGTGAACCATGATCTAAAGGTAGGCTTGATCTCCTCTCTAGAGCATGAATAAATGCAGTAGTCATGCCAGACTCTCTGTTTTCCTCTCCATGTAATTCCATACTAGAAGATTTACTACCTAGGGGACTTTTTAGGTTCATATAGCTTTCTATTTCATCAGCCAGATTACGTGCAATAACTGGAGAAAACAACTTATCTTCGGAATCAGGAGTTTTTTCCCCTGTATATTCAGTGGCTAAAAGAGACAAAGGATCTAGACCGGTTTCAACATCTTCCCTCTCAACCGCCTTAGCAATACCATATAAACTACTTCTCTTATTCTTCAGATCTCTGGATCCTATTTTCAAGTCTCTGGACTGATTACTGGTACTATCACTTAGTAGACTCTCATATGTATCCTCTGTTGCAGTAGTTTTAGCTATGTTATCAACCACAGGCTCAAGGAGTTCTTGGCTTTCCTCAAGCATCTCTGGCACTGGAGATGATCTCTGCCCAGGATTCCAAGTGCTTTCAGACACGCAAGTCCTACTATCAGGGAGGTGATAGCTAACATTCTCAAAGCTATGGGTTCTTGCAATATGAAGTGGAGAAGTCTTAGGGCATGTCACTGCTGCTGTGAGAATCTTGGCATCTGCTCCCATCATATTAGCCATTTCACTTGAATTCAAATCCAAACTACTCTTCTTAAGCAACATTCCTGCTCGACTTTCAGAACTAAAACTACAACTCCTCACAGGAAAATGCTTTTGTCTTTTTTCTGCTCTATCTCCATTCTTCTTGAGATTAGTAGCTTCACCAAAGACTGCATCTTCCACTGGATCTTGAGTAGAAAACAGCACATTTGATATACTACCTAAAAGGGAAAGTAAAAATATTGAACAATGAATCTCTATTTTCCAAGTTAACTTTTATTAAAATGTTTACTGTTTTCCTGATTACAAATGTGGCATATACAAAGAATAAAAGACCCAGAAAATTTAGAGGCTATAAAGAAGGTTTTTTTTAAAAAGTACCCTGGAAAAGCTATTTAAACCTGCCTCCCTGGTATAACATTTTAATGTATAACCTGTCTTTCATCCTGCATGTATATAAACACCCATTTAAAAAAACAAATCATGCAATATATGATAGATGGAGGTGTCTGTGTTGTTCACTAAAATACAGAAAAAGAAAGAATCTCTTCCATCTTAGTTTTGTATCCATTCAACAAATACTTGCCAGGAATCTACTCTGCAAAAAGCAAATTTGTAATCATAGAGGAACTGTATATTTGCTATACTCAGAGCCTTACTGCTGTAAAGTAAAAGAATCCGGAATGGAATGCTTAGCGCTAGCAAATTCTAAGAAAGTTGGCTGGGTGTGGTAGATCACGCCTGTAATCCCAGCACTTTTGGAGGCTGAGGCAGGCAAATCAGGAGGTCAGAAGTTTGAGACTGGCCTGGCCAACATGGTGAAACCCCATCTCTAATAAAAATACAAAAAATTAGCTGGGCCTGGTGGCAGGCGCCTGTAATCCCAGCTACTCAGGAGGCTGAGGCAGGAGAATCACTTGAACCCAGGAGGCAGAGGTTGCAGTAAACTGAGATTATGCCACGGCACTCCAGCCCAGGTGACAGCGACAGTATGAGACTCCGCCTCCACAAAAAAAAAAAAAAAAAAAAAGACTGATAAAATCTAAGTGGTTAAAAAATTATTCAGATATATCCACTTCTTTAACAAATATCTAAACACCTACTAATATCCACTATATGAGGTGCTAAGAATACAAAAGCAAATAAAACAGAAATAATCTCAGCCTTCACAGAAGTCAGTCTTATTTGATCAGGTAAAGCAAAAACATGCTGGTGGCCACAGTAGCTTCCCTAAGCTTTGGAAGAAGCAAGCAATCTTCTGCTCTTTGCTACCATGTAATTTGTTTCACTCCAAGACCAAAAGCTATTATTTCCTATTTGAATCATTATTGGAACTTAAGTCTACCTGTTATGGACTGACTGTTTGTGTCCCCCAAAATCCACATGTTGAAATCCTAATCCCCAACATGATAGTTATTAGGAGACAGGACCTTTGAAAGATAATTTGATCATGAAAGTGGAACCCTGATGAATGGGATTAGAACCCTTATAGAAGAAAACCCTGAGCGCTCTCTCCTTCTCTGCTATGAGAGGATACAGTAAGAAGCTAGCAGTCTGCAACCTGGAAGAGGGCCCTCTGCAGAACTCACCATGCTAACACCCTAAGCCTGGACTTTACAGCCCCTGGAACTATAAGAAATAGATTTCTTTCTTTCTTTTTTTTTAAGTTAGGGTCAGGCCAGGCCCAGTGGTTCACATCTGTAATCCCAGCAATTTAGGAAGCTGAGGCAGGTGGATCACCTGAGCTCAGGAGCTCAAGACCAGCCTGGGCAAAATGGTGAAACCCTGCCTCCACAAAAAAATACAAAAATTAGCCAGGCGTGGTGGCACTCACCTGTAATCCCAGCTACTTGGGGGACTGAGGCAGGAGAATCCTCGATGGCTTGAGCCCAGGAAGTCGAGGCTACAGTGAGACATGACTGCGCCACTATACTCCAGCCTAAGTGACACAGTGAGACCCTGTCTCGAAAACTGTGTAGCAGCCTGAAAAATTCATATTTAGGATTCTCATTTGTGTTTACTTTCCTTTGTTTTCTTTTTATCCAGTGCCTTTTACTGTAGTCACATCATTTGTTGTGTTAAAAAGCATAATGTCTGGGAACTTCAAGGAAAAAAACTGTCTTAGATAAAATCTTTTAAACTTCAAGATTGATTTCAAGGTTCTTTTTAATCTTTCAAGTTAGTACTAATAATCATATATATATCAATTAATCAGAATAAGCATTTAGAGATATTCTTTTTAAGCCTTCATGGGAATTAAACTAACCTATTTTACAACTCAAAATATGTACCTGCTTTAAAAGCTGTTCTCAATATTTGAGAAACAAATCTGCAAATATTATTGGTTTTCATAGTATTTCAAGGAATTTAACAGCACATTTTGTTCAATTTAAAAAATATTCGCTATATTGATAAAAGTCCCACTATCCTCGCCCTTCATTCTTAACATGAAAATAAGGTAAGTTAAAAGGGAAAGTAACACAAAAGTCCACAGACCATGTCCAGTTCAATATTCTTAGAGGATTCTAAGCCTGTGATGAAGAAAACTCTTCACTCCATTTCCCCAACATCTTTGCTATCAAGAGGTTGGGAAAATGGGATCTGCAATGTGTTTTTCAATTATTTTCTCAAAAAACCTCTAGCCCCATCTCTTGAGCACTACCCAAAAAAGTAGTGAGTGAAACTTGGAGTTACAGAAAATACAAAGAGAAAACACTTTAAGAACAAAGAGTACTTTTACATTGGTTTAAGAAGCTGAACTAACTTCTGTAAAGTCATACAATATGACTTTACAGAATACGTTTTCAGACAAGAGAGTCAAGTTTAGAAAAGTGAACTGTAGCCACCACTAATGAATGGCAAAGGATGTAGGTCAATTTCATTGTCTTTTAAAACCATATATTTAGAGGCCAGGCATGGTGGCTCACACCTGTAATCCCAGCACTCTGGGAAACTGAGGTGGGCAGATCAGGAGGTCAGGAATTCAAGACCAGCCTGGCCAGAATGGTGAAACCCTGTCTCTACTAAAAATACAAAAATTAGCCAGGCGTGGTGGCGGTGTCTGTAATCCCAGCTACTTGGGAGGCTGAGGCTGTAGTGAGCTGAGATCCCACCACTGCACTCCAGCCTGGGCGACAGAGTAAGATTCCATCTCAAAAAAAAAACCAACAATCATATACTTATATGTGTGCCATAAGAGTCTTGGGAGGCCTACAACATAAATGAAAGTAGAAAACTCAGATTCAAGGGAGTCATGCACCCAGTTATTTATTATAAACAATCACAAATAAGAAGTGGCTTGTGGTACCTATAAAAATGGCCAAAACTAAAGCCCCACTGGCATATCTGTGTAGAGGGGAAATGATGTGAATCTTTGTCTTCCACTTCCCTGCACTGATAGGAATTAGTCTGCCATTCATAAGCCCTCTGGGATTTGATCACATCACTGCCTCTCTGCCCTTGATGCACACAGGAAGCCCTGTAAGTACACTCTCTCATTATCTACAATGAGAAAGAGTAGCCAAATGGAGAACAGTCACCACAACAGGAAAGGGTATTCCAAATAACAAGTAAATACACCAAATACTCCTTTTAAAAATCAAACACCTTTAAGTAAAAATATTTTCAATTTCTTTAGCCTATTTATAGAATTCGAAAGTCCCTTCTGGCTCTTTAGCATGTTCATTAAACTAAGTAAACAATTTGATGTCATTTAAGACACATGTGTCTATAGAAGTATATTTTAAGTATTTAACAACCAAAATGTAAAGACTCACCAGTGCTACATTTCCTGCTGTTGATATCAAATATACCAGATGGAACTTTCACAATACTGCTGCCCCATGCAGGAGGTTCAGTAGGACTGTGAGGCTCTGGACTCGGTTGTGAATGTTTTGCCACAATAGCAGAGGCATCACACACCTCTGGAAAAAAATATTTGGATGTTATCATTCCTACTTTTGCCAATATTAAACAGAAACCATATATTAACTTTTATATAGTATATGTATTTTTCTTCAATAGTGTGTCATTTTACTTCAGACACAAAGTAAAATAGACTGTATCTGGTTTATTTTATGCCATAAATGCTGCCAGTATTAACTGAAATAAATGCTTTGTTTTGGCATTCAATAATCCTAACATGAATGTTCTTTAGTGAATCAATTAAGTATCTCTGGCCTTCAGTTCTCCTTCTCATCACTTGGCCAGTAGGAAAGGGGCTTGCTCCTCCACAATTCTGGAGCATAAAATAAGTAACATCAAAGAAAGTGCACTTTTGTGAAAGCGATGAGGAAGAGCTTCTTATTCTATAAGTCAAAATATTCCTCTATATTTTCATAAAACGATTACAACAAATTATCTCTACCTTAATGAGTCCTATAAAAACTGGGAAAACCATAGACTATTTTTAACCCATGAATGAAAACTATCCACTTATATATTTGAAGGACTGCTAGTGAAAGAGCATTTTTAAATTAAAAAGGGCACTAAAATAGAAGTTTTGTTGACTCAAAATTTAGTCCTGGTTCTGTCAAAAGTAGGTATGTAATTCTCGCAAATGCCTCAATGGGTCATACTTTCCTGCAAAATTAAGGGCTGACCTACAGAGTCTCTAAGGGTCTCTTATGGCCAGGTGTGATGACCCACACCTGTAATCCCAGCACTCTGGGAGGCAAAGATGGGAAGATCACTTGAGCTCAGGAAGTCAAGAGCAGCCTGGGCAACATGGCGAGACCTTTTCTCTACAAAAAATTAAAAAATTAGTCAGGCAAGCACCTGTGGTCCCAGCTGACAGGTGGCTGAGGCAGGAGGATCCTATGAGGCCAGGAGATCAGGGCTGCAGTAAGCCATGTTTTGCCACTGCACTCAACCTGGGCAACAGAGCAAGATCCTGTCTCTAAGAAAAAAACATAAAGAAAGAAATAAAGGTCTCTTAAACTTCAGAGACTACCAAAATCTACCTTATATAATAGTAATGTAGCATCTTAAGAGCCAGACCTCACATTTGTGAAAATAATCATCAAAGCTATCAACTAAGATGAACTTTTAATTATTAATAATACAGGTATTATTCTAAGTAAAGTTCATAAATATCAGTATTTAACCTTCTGTTTGCATTTCTGTTTTAGTTATCAATTCTTTTGCTGCTTGTTCTTCAGGCATATGAATTTCTGCATCATCCTTTATAAGTTCATCCTTAGACCCATATCCTTGGTCAGACTGACCACCTGTTAAAAAGAATGCAGGCTTACATATAAATGTTTTCATATACTTATAATTGATATATAAAATATCAAAAGAAAATTCCACTGATCTACACCATTAAAGTTAGAGAAAAAGAAGACCAGAAAGCACACAAGGCACATAGAACATTTTAAAAATGATAAGCACCAAAGAACAGTAGAAACAGGAACATCAAAGACTAAACACATTGGGAAGCACTAAATCTTAATTTTTTCATCTGTAAATTAAAAAGATTTAGACAAGATGTTTGGAAAAGTCTCTTTTGGAGAGTGTCTACAGAATGCTACCTTCTGTGTAAGAATGAAAAACACATATATCTGCTTCCTTTTGCAAAAAATAAATGCAGAACAAATAAACTAGAAAACAGTAAAGATGGTTACCTACCAGGGTTGGGGGGAAATAAGATGCAATGAATAAAGAAGGAGAAAAGTTCTCTATGTATGGCTATGGTATTGCTTTTATCTTTGCAGATGTAATATACTTCTGCATGTTAAAAAAAACAAAATCAGTAAGATAAAGGGGGTACAACTGAATGCAAACAGAAGCAAATGAGGTCAACTGTATATCACATGAATAACCACACTCAAAGGGCCAGGGGAGGGCAAATACAAGTAACTTTTGAACACATTATTTTGAATATTTACCCTAAGCCTAGGAGTAATCATCAAATCCTGAACTGCCTAGTAGGTTTGTTTTTCACAGAGAAATGAGTGTAACAATTCTGAACTTATTTTTTATGTACAGTACACATCTTTTCTATCTTAGGAAAAAAGTTTAGAAGGAGTAACACCATGGTAACAGCGAGCTGAAATCTTAGCTTCCAAAATCTAGTCCCCATAAAAAAGAACCAGGGATCCCTGAAGAAATGGCTGATTCTAGAGCTCAGATAGAGAAAGTACAAGATTTAGCTAGAACAGTCTGTTGTGCCAAAAAGGTAGTGCTCAGGAACATGATGGGAGAATATCTAATGGACATAAAAACCAGCTTACAGGAGCTCCCACTGGCCAACACAGGGATAGTCTGAAGATCAAATAAGGACAGTAGTGAATTACACTTCAATGAATAAAATAGGAATCCAGGAGTCTGTACTCATAATAAATAAGAAAAAAAATAGAGAATGGAGAATTTTCTATATACTAGAATATCATCTTCTAAAGGAGTGACAAGAGTTGGCAAAAATCACCACTTTTAGTCATCATAGTAATGACTGGTTCAGGCAAGCATCATCAATGGATGCCAAATTTAAAAGAGAAAGTGTCAAGAGAAGGGATATTAGCACATTTTCACAGAGTGTCCTTTCAAAAATAGCTTTTCATCTGAGAGGGAAAAAATATTATAGTAACTATCTACAGAGAAACCAGACAATAGTGAGACTAGGTGATCCAAATTAGTATCACTGATGATGGATGGTCTGACAGACTGTGTGTGCCTGTAGGATGTGATAACCTGAGAAGGATTCAACATTATTTATGTAGCAAACCTATGGATGTATAACCTAATCACTAGGAAACAGCAGACATACCCAAATTAAAGAAGATTTCACAAAATAATTAAAACGTATTCTTCAAAAAGGCCAAGGTCATAAAAGATTTTTTAAAAGGCTAAGGAACTGTGCCCAGTTAAGGAAGACTAAAGAAAGGGAGTTAAATTACCATTTTGGTAATTTAACATTAGGACAACGGACAAACTTAGAATATAAACTATAAAGTAGTATATCAATGTTTTCTTGAATTTGGTAACTGAAGTGTGATTATATATAAGAGAAAACACCACTGAAATAGTAAGAGGTAAAAGGGGAAGATGTATGTACCCTGCTCATACGATTTAGGAAAAAGAAATGGTATGTATATGCATAAAGAATCAAAATAACAAAGCAAATGTGGCAAACTAAAAAGCAGTGAATCTAGATAAAATATGAGAGTTTTCTGTATTATTCTTGCAAATTTTCTCTAAGTTTGAAATTATTTCAAATATTTTAAAAGTCTGTTTTGACTTTAAAGTTCCATCATTTAAAATCAAAACTAAGATCAGGTACTAGACAAATCAGCATAAAAATGTCAATAAAAGGCACATAAAATAACATACACAGTACCTCCATTTTCCATCACTTATTACACTGCCACTCAGACTGGGTTTGTCATAAACAAAAGATTTAAATGTCTTTAAATACTATTACTTAGAATGACTAACTTCAGTCACTTTTTTACTGGCTCCCTCAAAAAGTCTGGCTATATGAAATAAACACTAGGCTGGGACCTGGGTAGATTAAAACCAAACATGCCCCTAACTGCTAAGTGACTCTGTATCAGGTACCAAGTGGAAAGATTTCATAAGATAATCCTTAATGAAATGAGCAACTTAAGCACCTGGGCTGAAGACTCCAAAAGATTCAAATGGCATCATGAGAAGTTCTACAGAGACACACCACTACTGCCAATTCAGTATGTGGAATTCAGTCATTTGAAATGCAGCTAAAATATATAAGGGGAACCTGAAGGTTCTCACCCAACTATTGAAGTCTTTGTATCAATTACTCAGGATTACTAGGAGACTGGTATTTCCATTAAAGGAGTAAATTGCCTCTATAATGAGATAAACTTAAAAATCTGAAGGAATGGGGGAAGGTATTTATGTATTACTATCACTATTCCTGGTAAACTGGTTTCACAACAAAAAAAATTTTTTTTGTTTTTTTATACATGAATCTCATTTCCTCTACAAGTATTAGCAAAAAAATGCTAGAGGAAATAAAATAAGTAGCTTTAAAATAAATGTTTTATAAAAATTATTATTTGTTAATATAATATACAAACATGATGGCAAACTGAGGAAGTTTATTACAAACAGAATTGTAATGTACAGCTTTCTGTTGACTTTCAGTTATTTACATATGCTCCTGTAATTATGGGAAGGTTGTTTTAACATAATAATTCAGTAGAACAGTTTTGGAAAGAACCACACCACCTCAACAGTGGAAACAATTAATTCTCCAATGCTTTTAACACTATTTGTCACAATGATGCTACAAACCAACCTCAAAATAAGAATTTTAGAAAGGCATATCTTCAAATAAGATAAAAAATATGCTTTGTAAACGGACCATTAAAAAAGAAAGTTAGTTTGATATTTTCAATAGAGTCTTTATATAATTACATTTATCTGAAGGAGAAAAAGCAAGAAAATGCAAACTGTTTACCACTCATAACAATACTTAAAATACAATGAAAGTCTTTCCCCCACCCTTGCATGTCAGCAAAATTTAACCTAATAAATGGGAAATTACCTGATGTGGTTAACAGTCAAGGGTAGAATTAATGCACACGTGTATCCATAGCTTCACGTCATACAAGTCTGTCTGCACCCCACACCATGACAGCCAAGGACAAATGCAGCACCAAGAAACAGCACAGAGCAAAAAGCAAAGCAACAAAGAGCAGAGAAAAGGAAACTTCAGTCATGGAGACAAGTTCAGAAGCACAGGAATTAGACCCAGAATTCTTTTGTAAAGGAAGGCTTGAAATATTAAAAACAACCACAACAAAAAAAACAACACAAGAAGAAGGATGTGCAACACACATATATCTGCACAATGTGCTACTTTAATTATACTTATTTCTAACTTCAGAGGACAGGGGTTACTCCCATGGCTATGTACATAAAAGCAGCTTCAGTAGCTCTCAGATCTATAAAAATGTAACTTAAAGAGAATGCTTTTCTTCATGGTGTCAATTCCTTCCTTCCCTTTTTAGTATTCATAAAGTTTTAAGATATATTTTCTATTTAATTAAAAAAAGATTTGCAAGTTGTGTCACTAATTTTGAAGTTTCTTAGCTCACAATTCCTAATTATAGCATACACATTCACAAATTAATGATGAACAAATACAAAGAAGCATCATGCTAGAGCACTGTGCACAGAACTACCATACTAATTCTGTACTATAGGAAATAAAAAAAAGTGATCTGCAGACTTGTATTGCTCCTCTTCTAGTTTTAAAGTACTAAAAGTAAAGTGCTTCTAGTACTTTTAAAGTATTCATGTCACACAAACTCAAGAAGGGAAGAAGTTTTTTGAAAAAGAAAAGATTAAACATGAGAGTAAGTGAAGAGTTAGTAAAATCTGTATTTTAGTACCTGTGCTAGAGTGATTATCAACGGACTCAAGCCTGATTAAATCTCTGACGAAGACTGTGTGCTTCCCATTATTAGCATCATTAGAACTATCCACGCTACCGTGGCTCACTGTGTCTCCATCACTTCCACCTGTGATATTCTGAGGAGCTAAAGTTAAGGACAATAGCAGTTCAATAACTCATGCATTGATAATTTCTTAAACTAAACATGAATGACCCATGGTTCACTTATAGTCGCAGAACACTTTCTAAATTTCTGGAAAAAAAAAATTTTGGACTAAGGTAATGTCTTTAATTGTATATGAAAATGTCTACCACAATTTAAGTTTTCTACTTCACAAAGCTAAAAATTCATATGCCTATAAAGCTCATGGTTCAGGAAGAAAGTATACTTCTAATCACATGTATTACCTGATATTGAGGAGACCTGTGATTTTTGCACAGTCTTTTTAAGTGGTTGCCTAAACTGTGCCAAGCCACGTACCACATTCCGTACCTTCGTCCATAAGAAGATACCACTGCGGGTACTGCTAGGCCACGGGCTCTCCAAAACTACCTAAAGGTAAAATAAGGGTAAAAAGAATGTTCATTAGCAAGATGCGATTTTAAAAATACATACATGCATAGATGTGTGTGTGTGTATATACATATATATGTACACACACACATACATATATACACACACACACACAAAAATATAAAGTTATACTAGTCAAGAGGTATATGAAAAAATGCTAAACATTACTAAACATCAGAGAAACACAAATTAAGACTACAATGAGATATCTTATCATCTAATACTTGTTAGAATCATTATTGTCAAAAAAACAAAAGATGTTGATTAAGGATGTGAAGAGCTGGGCATGTTGGCTCATGCCTGCAATCCCAGCACTTAGGGAGGCAGAAGCATGCGGATCACCTGAGGTTGAGAGTTCCAGACCAGCCTGACCAACAGGAAAAAACCCCCATCTTTACTAAAAATACAAAATTAGCTGGGCGTAATGGCGCATGCCTGTAATCCCAGCTACTCGGGAGGCTGAGGCAGGAGAAACGTTTGAACCCAGGAGGTAGAGGTTGTAGTGAGCCGAGATCATACCACTGCACTTCAGTCTGCGCAAGAAGGGTGAAACTCTGCTCCAAAAAAAAAAAAAAAGGATGTGGAGAAAAGAACACTTACACACTCAGTGGAAATGCAAATTAGTACAGCCATTAAAAAGATTCCTCACAAATAGTTTGGCGTTTCCTCAAAAAATTAAAACTAGAACTACCATATCATCCAGCAATCCTACTACTGGGTATAGATATGCAAAAGAAATGAAATCAGTACACTCAAGAGATCTGTACTCCTCATATTTACTGCAGCATTATTCATAATAACAAAAATATGGAATCATCCTAAGTGTTCATCAATGTATGAATGGATGAAGAAACTGTGGTATATATACACAATGAAATATTATTCAGTCTGAAATAAAAAAAGGAAATCCTGTCATTTGTGACAATATGAACGATCCCAGAGGACATGACGGCAAGTGAAATAAGCCAGGCACAGAAAGACAAATACTGCATGATCTCACATATATGTGAGATCCAATAAAGTGAAACCCATAAAACTTAGAGAGTAGAACTGGTTACCAGGGGCTCTGAGAGGTGACGGGAAACAGGGGACTGGAAGATGTTGGTAAAAAGATACAAAATTTCAGTTAGATACTAGAAATAAAGTCAAGAGATCTGTTGAACAACATGAGGACTACAGTTAATAACAATGTATTGTATTTTGAAAATTGCTAAGAGACTACAAGTGTTCTCACCACAAAAAAATGGTAAGTATGTGAAGTAAGGCATATGTTAATTACTTAATAGCCTGACTGATCCATTCCACAATATACATACCTCAAAACATCATATTGTACATGATAAATATACATACATTTTATCAATTTTTAAACAAGAATTATATCCCAAAACCTCTTTTAACAGGAATTTCATAAATAACAAAAGGTATACAAAATTATCATTCTTAATAGCAGCACATATTGCCTAATGTTGATCCTACTTACCTTATTATAATAACCATAAGTAATAGCATTAGGCTTTATCCTAGCAGTTTTCATTTCAAATAAGACTCTCACTGCTAAAACAGGATGACCCCAAAGTCCACAAAGCTGCATTACTACTCGATAGCACACCTAACAACAACAACAAAAAAAATTGAATTGTCAGCAATTAGCATACCACTCTATCTGTGAATTGTAGAAATTTTACTGAATTCTTTTCATGAAGTTATTAAGCATTATTTTATCCTCTGTTCTGATTTGACCATCTTAGCAAATTATTTTTAAGACCATTCAGGCTGGGTGCAATGGCTCATGCCTCACTGCACTTAGGGAGCCAAGGTGGGCAGATGACCTGAGGTCAGGACTTCGAGACCAACCTGGCCAACATGGTAGAACCTCATCTCTACTAACAGTACAAAAATTAGATGGGCAGGGAGGTGCATGCCTATAATCACAGCTACTTGGGAGGCTGAGGCACGAGAATCACTTTAACCCAGGAAGTGGAGGTTGCAAGGAGCCCACATCACACCATTGCACTCCAGCCTGGATGACAGGAGTTTTTTTTGAGACTCCATCTCAAAAGAAAAAAAAAAACCACAACTATTCATTAATGCAAGTATCATTATTAACTATTTCATATAAGACGTATTTGTCCATGTCCCATTTGTTTGAGTAACTAAAGCTACTCTATTACTCTTCGTAAATTTGAGAGGGAATTCATTTTTAAAATCAAGTATAGAGGCCGGCAGCGGTGGCTCACATCTGTAATCCCAGAACTTTTGGAGGCCAAGGTGGGCAAATCACCTGAGGTCAGGAGTTTGAGACCAGCCTGGCCAACATGGTGAAATCCCATCTCTACAAAACAAAAACAAAAATTAGCCAAGCATGGTGGCACAGGCCTGTAATCCCAGGTACTCGGGAGGCTGAGGCAGGAGAATCGCTAGAACCTAGGAGAAAGAGGTTGCAGTGAGCCAAGATTGCAATTTTAGTCTTTTCCTGAGGGAAAAGAGTAAGACTGTCTCAAAAAAATAAACAAAATCAAGTATAAAGTCTCTCTCTCCCCAATAACTATGCTTTCCATTCAATGCCAAAGGAATTAAAAACTTATCTCCAAAATGCCTATAGAACAAACAAGACTTGTCTTTAAAAGAATAAGAACAAAGTTAAATATACTGTAACATTATTAGCAAAGACTTTTCATTTTTAATTCTGATCTAGTTCAAAATAGTTTATAGTTATTTTAACATAAAAAATAATTTTTAAAAGGAAAAACAGCATGAGAAAAAGCTAAGTAAGTGCCTCAGTTTCGTCAACCATTAACTGGATAATATCAGTATGTACTTCTTAGGATGGTTTCTGAGGCTTGAGAGAAAAATGCATGAAAATGTCTAGTACATCATTCACTGAGTGCTTCTATAAACCAACCAGGCACTTTAAGTATATTAACTGATTTAACCTTCAGACTATGATGAAGGTACTATTATTACCTACCTCGGTGGTTCTCCAGGAGCAATTGTGCTCTCCAAGGGAATATTTTTTATTGTCATGATCTGTGCAGGGAAAGAGAGGCATCTAGTAGGTAGATGCCAAGGATGCTGCTAAACATCCTACACAATGTACAAGACAGACTCCTAAAATAAACAATTATGTGGGCCAAAATATCAATAGTGTCGAAGTTGAGAAGTTCAAAGTTACATTTTCAAATAGATAATCCAAAACACAAATACGTTCTACAGGCCAGGTGCAACGGTTCACATCGATAATCTCAGCACTTTAGGAGGTCAAGCAGAAGGATGGCTTAAGGCCATAAGTTTGAGACCAGCCCAGGAAACACATCAAGACCCCATTTCTACAAAAAATAAAACTAAAAAAATTAGTCAGACGTGGTGATGTGCACCTGTAGTTCCAGCTACTTGGGAGGCTGAGTGGGAGGATCACTTGAGCCCAGAAGTTCAAGGCTGCAGGGAGCTCTGATAGCGCCACTGCACTCCAGCATGGGCAACAGTACATGACCCTGTCTCTAAAACAGACTAAATAACTAACCCTAAGACACAGGTCTTAAGTGGAGAGCCACTTACTAAAAGCCTATTCCCTATCTCCTTCCCAATAAAGTTATATTAAGAATAAAATGAAGCCAGCCACAGCAGCTCATGCCTGTAATCCCAGCACTTTGGGAGGCCAAGGTGGGGGTTCAAGAGCCAGGAGTTCAAGACCAGCCTGGGCAACAAAGTGAGATTCCATCCCTTGAAAGAAAAAATTAAAAAAAAGAAAAACCATATGCCAGGCGAGGTGCAAGACTGTATGCCTGCAGTCCTAGCTACTCCGGAGACAGGTGGGAGAATTGCTTGAGCCCAGGAGTTCGAGGCTGCAGTGAGCCATGATCACAAAACTGCACTCCAGCCTGGGCAAGAGAGAAACGTGATCCCATCTCTTTAAAAATAAACAAACACGGTCGGCTGTGGTGGCTCACACCTGTAATCCCAGCACTTTGCGAAGCTGAGGTGGGCAGATCACTTGAAGCCAGGAGTTCAAGACCAGCCTGGCCAACATGGTGAGACCCCATCTCTATTAAAAATACACACACACACACACACACACACACACACACACACAGCCAGGTATGGTGGCATGTGCCTGTAATTCCAGCTACTCAGGAGCCACAGAACTGTCTGAACCCAGAAGGCAGAGGCGGCAATGAGCCAAGGATAGATCCAACCTGGGTGACAGTCTTGCTCAAAAATAAATAACTAAAATAAAAAATAAACAATATGTACCAGCTCCATGAAACACAGTAACAGTTTTACCTTTCCTCCTTAATGAAAATGCTTGAGCACACTTAAAAGCAACTTAGACCCAAATTTTATTAGCAGTACAAAAATAAAATTTATCCTAGAAACAATAAGTCAATTTGTTAACACTTACCTCATCTAAGGGATCCACATCTGTTTTCCTCATCTTAATAAGTACATCATATGCCTGCTGAAGTGCTCTGACCTTAGGATGAGAAACTCTAACATAGGCCGGAAGACAAATAAACCATAAACTGTAACAATGACTGAACAGACACTTGGCCCACTGTGGTGGATTTGTATAACATCTCTTTGCCAATTTATGAGCTGTTTTTATTTCCTAGAAAGAGAATAAAATATTACAGCATTTACTAAAATTTATTAGGATGAGGGGAGAAGTGAGAAGGATTTAAGTAAAAGTTGACTCTAAAATCAAGCACTTTGAAGTTGACTTTTGAGAGTAGCTTCCTACTTAGTGCTAATGGTTCCCCTGAACATTTATTTATAATAATACTTTATACTATACCACAACTATTTGTTAGCAACCGTGTGTCTCTTAACAGAGTAGAAATTAAGAGCAAACATCACTCATCTTTTTATAATAGAATGGCTCATGTCTTTTACAAAAAAGGCACTCATTTTTGATGGGTGAAAAAGTGATATTCTCACTCTTCTCTCTGCTGAAGTTTAATATGCTCTAGGCTATCTCCTGCCAAGATTTCCATTCTGTCTTCCCAAGCTACAGACTATGTTAACTCCCTCATTGACAGAGTCCTTAAAAAAGATCTATTCCTTTTGAAGTCAACATAAACTTTCCTCCTAGGAGTTTGATAGTTATGTTTTCTAGTTCTGATTTTCATTCTGATTTAGGTAGAAGAGAGAAGGTATCAAAATCATCTGCTGAGCTTTTTTTTTTTTTTTTATTGAGACAGAATCTTGCTTTTGTCACCCAGGCTGGAGTATAATGGTACGATCTCAGCTCACTACAACCTCCACCTCCCAGGTTCAAGCGATTCTCCTGCCTCAGCCTCCCAAGTAGCTGGGATTACAGGCACCCACCACCACGCCTGTCTAGTTTGTTTTTGTTTGTTTGTTTGTTTGTGTTCTTAGCAGAGAAAGGGTTTTACCATGTTGGCCAGGCAGGCCTTGAACTCCTGACCTCAACTTATCCACTCACCTCAGCCTCCCAAAGTGCTAGGATTATAGATGTGAACCACCATACCCAGCCATCTGCTGAGCTTTATCAAACTATATATGTTCCCAGAAACTAGAGAGCCTACCAGATATGTTAGAATGCCATTTTATGCTTTGTACTAAAGATTCCTCCACTAGATTATGTTCTAAATAAAAAAATCTTGGTGTATTAATTTTACTTTTGAGCTTGACCTCCATGACACTTCAGTATATATTTTAAAATATATGCCATTGTTTTTCTAAGATCCTACGGTCCTTTACTTTTCCAGTTAGCCTGAAAAAAAAAATTCTGCTATAAATGAAATTTAGAGGCTGAATCAGCAAAATTTTCTCATTTTAGAAATTTCCATTTTGTTAGCTGGTAACGGTAAAAAGAAACTTCTTTAGTATGCTCTTCCAATAACACTGAAAGATATATGAACTGTATGAAGTTAGGGAATACTTCAGCCTATCTATAGGATTTAGGGGATTATCCCATAAATTAGTAAAACCCAAACTAACATTTTCATTGTGAAATTTTCCACATTTTGAAGAACCCCAAAATGCCAGTGTATGTATAAAGGTTCTTTAATTTTAACTCACACATAATCATAGCTTAATTCTTTATACCTAAATCACATATAGTAATGAAGCAAGATGTCTAGGTTGTCCTAAGTTAACTCCCTTTGGATTGTAATACTTGGAATAAAATATATTTACATTAGCCATTAGGGAAACGCAAATTTAAAATACAACTTCATACTTACTAGATGGCTTTAATGAAAAAAAAAAATAACAAGAATAGACCAGAATATGCTGTAAAACTGGAACCCTCATACACTGCTGATGGGAATGTAAAAAGTCATGCAGCCACTTTGGAAAACAGCCTGGGAAGTGCCTCAAAGAGTTGTACACAGAGTAACCATTTGACATAGCAATTTACTCCTAAATATATACCTCAAAGAAATAAAAACATACATCCATACAAACACTTATACACAAATGTTCATTTCCAATATTCAAAACAGCCAAAAAGTAGTAAGTACCCACATGTCCATAAATAGACAAAATGTGGTTTGGCCACACAATGGAATATTATTCAGCAATAAAAATTATTACTGATATATACTGGAACGTGGATGAATCCTGAAAATGTTATGCTAAGTGAAAGAAAACAGTCACAAAAGAACACATATTATGTAGTTCTACTTGTGAAATGCCCAGAATACACAAATTTGTAGACAGAAAACAGATTTGTGGTTGCCTGGGGCTGCAGGAGATTGAGATTTGAGGTTAATGGCTAAAGGATGAAAACTTTCTTTTGGGGTTGATAAAAATATTCTAAAATTAATTGTGGTGATAGTTGTACAAACCTGTGAATATACTAAAAGCCACTTAATCATACACTTTAAGTAGGTATATTGTATGCTATATGAATTATATTTCAATTAAGTTTTCTAAAAAGTATATTTGGTTCCTAAGTATTCCCTTAAAGCATAAACATAAGCATTCAAAAATATCAGCCTAGATACATAGATACATAGATAGATAGATAGATAGACAGATAGATAGACAGACAGACAGACACATAGATGATAGATTTTTTTTTTTTTTTGAGATGGGAGTTTCACTCTTGTCACCCAGGCTAGAGTGCAGTGTGCAATCCTGGCTTACTGCAACCTCCACCTCCCAGGTTCAAGCAATTCTCCTGCCTCAGCCTCCCAAGTAGCTGGGATTACAGGTGCCTGCCACCATGCCCAGCTAATTTTTGTATTTTTAGTGCAAATGGTTTCATCATGTTGGCCAGGCTGGTCCTGAACTCCTGACCTCAAGTGATCTGCCTGCCTCAGTGCTGGGATTACAGGCATGAGACACCATGCCTGGCCCAGCCTTGATATTTTAGGCACACCTGCAAGAAATCTAGTTAAATTCAGTAACAACCATAGTAAGTTTTCAAATGGTTGTGGGTGATCATTCTAAACTATGAGCTGCATATCACATATACATATTTTACATCTTAAATGAACATGTATTAGATAAAGAATATCTGACCTGTTTAGTTCTCTTAGCCATGAGAGCTGGACTGTTTGTAATGCTATTCCCAGTAGGGTGTCTACTAAAGCAAAGTTTCAACTCCTGCGGTCTGTCAAAAAGCTTAAGGTCCAGTCTTGGAAAGTATTTGTAACTAAAATAAAAAGCAAAAATAGAACTGCTGATTTAAAATATACATCAACTTTTCATATTATTCCAGCATTTAGGCAAGTATTTCTAAACCTCAAATAGTACCCAACATTATTTAACGGCTTATATGGAAAAAATACTTTTTCAAAATTTTAAAATGATATAAAATAGAGACTATCTTCATGAAAACTTTGTCTCCTCTCCACCCTATCTGTTATTTTCAATCAATTTCTAAAACACAGAAAACTCTTATATCTTACCTAAAGGGGGAAATAACTCTTTGAAGAGAATCCATGTGTTTGATAATTTATGTTTAAAAAAATTTTAGTACACGTTATGTACTAAATTTAGTACACTTACGTTTTAGTACACTTACATTTTCCTTCATAAAATTACCTTGCATCAGTACTTAAATTTTAAAAATCCATAAAATTTTTATTTTAAGGATGAATTTGAGCAGTTTTTCACTGCTGGACATTATTAGGTTGTTTCTAAATTTCTCCAATCAAATATTTTCATATGTATATCTTTATGAATACTTTTGCTTACTTTCTTAGGATGAATACTCACCCAATAATAGAGTTTGCTAGGTCCATGTTTAACAAAAGAATTAAAATTAGTATAATTACTATCAGTTTATTTCCAAAAAGATTATACTGGAACATATATTCTAACTACTAGCATAACCTATTCTCAGTCTCAAAGGTTTCTAGTCATCATTTTGGTTTCCATTTCTTTGAATGAAAAAAAGCAAAACACATTTTTATGTTATTGACTTTGGATTTCTTCTTGGAAATTGTCTACTTATTTCCTTTGCCAATTTTCTTCCAGGAGATATTTAATTTCCATATTTGATTTTATCTTGTTTGTCAATATCTGGATTCCAATTTCTAGCAGTTAAGTCAAAGTAGAAAAGAATTCTATAGTTAACATGAAATCAAAATTGTATTTAATTAAGCCACTCAATCCCAGACATATTCTTCATTCTGATGCAGTCCTATTGATATTATATATTAATTCTCTATTTTAGGAAGGTACTTAATTTACTTTCCATTTTAGAAATTCTTTTAGAAATACAGCCTAAGAAAATAACTGTATATGCACATAAAGGTAGATGGCAAAGAATTAGAAACAAATCCGTAAGAGGCTATTTAAATAAATCATAATAAATGCATACAATGTAGTCATTACAAATGATAAGGCACAAAAATATTTAATGGTATGGGAAAATATTCAGATCACTAAAGGCAAACACAGATTACAAAGAGAATCTACCAGATGAACTCATACATGCAGTACATACACACATAAATCCACATGATACACACATACCTACAATTGTTAAAAGACACAAGTATTGATGCTAGAATGATGTATCAGTTTTTTCTTTTTGTTTGACTTTCTTAGTTTATTAAATTTATAGTAATAAAATCCATTCTAATTTCTTAAAAGCCACATCCAAATCCTATCCTTTATTTTAATAAAGAATAATTCCTGGCCCTCTACCTTAAGTTTTCTTGGTAAATTACTAATTCATAAAAACTTCACAATCTCTATATCAACACTAAAACTCCCAAAGGGAGAGGGGAATCTCATAGAAGTAACATTTTTCTCCTTCAGAATTGGAACTTTTAAAGATTAAAATACAGTTAAACGCTAAGGTAAACAATGATCAACATGTGACAATGCCATCGAATTTTTAAATTATAACACCTAGTGGCATTTCCATAAAATGTTCATCTACATTAGTTTACTGAATTAATACTGAAAACGACTTTCACAAAAGACTAATATACATATCTACCAATAAAAATTAAAATAAACTTATAGGCTGTGTCTAAATAGATCTTTAAAAACTTCCTATTACCTGTACTTTGGTGACAGGACCTTTCCATCATCAGGAGGTGGCTCTGGTGGCGTAATAAATACAGTATGTTCACTTTTCTGTGAATCGTCTAGTTCTATCAATCTGGTATCTTCTGCTGAATCAAAATCAACCTGAAAATAATTATTTTCCTCAATTAATTTGCATACAAACAAAATCTAATTCTGAAATTTCAATACTTAAAGTCTGAGAAAAACATACCTTATCTGTTTTCTCTGTGCCTTTATCAGGAAACAACTAGAAAATAAGAAAACATATACTTAATGAAAATGTCCACTAAGAATTTAACAGAGATTTTTATCTTACGTTCTGATTTAGAAAAAAACTACCCCTTTTCAGTATTGGCTGATACCAAATACTGCACAATATATTTCTAAGCTAAATATATACTCTTAGGCTAAAGCATAATTTTTTACTTGTGGTTATTAGGATAGAAAACTATTTTGATTAGCTCTTTTGTAAACCTTAAGACAAAAGATAACCACAAGGTTATCTGGCTTCTCAAAAAAAATTCATCATTATTAAACTCCCTTATAAGTGATTGACATTAATCTTCTCATATAACTGGAAGATAGTGGAATATCAATTTTGAAAATAAACCAAAACCTTGAATAGTTTTAATTATATCCCTAAAGTTTTAGATCACACTGATAGGAGAAAATTATTCAAATCTTCTAAGGCATATGAATCATTAGGGGGTTATAAAATTAATGTCAGTGGAATATCAATTTTGTAAATAAACCAAAACCTTGAATAGTTTTAATTATATCCCTAAAGTTTTAGATCACACTGACAGGAGAAAATTATTCAAATCTTCTAAGGCATATGAATCATTAGGGGGTTATAAAATTAATGTCATAATATTCTACTTTTTTTGGATACAATCTCAAATGTTATGTAATATATGGTTTCCATAAACAATAATATCTACTTAGCAAAAAAAGAATTCTATTAAAAGTTAGAAAAAATTATAACCAAGTCATTGCTGTCAAGAATCGATTTTAACTTCCTTAGGATGGGTAAGTAACGCTTAAAAATTTAACATATTTCCATCCTCCATTAGAACAAAAGAAATACATTAGCAAAAGGATTTGGAAAGACATTAAAACAAAAGAACATAAGACTTTTATTACCCTTAAAACCATTTCTTAATTAAAAAAACTAAATCTTAAACTAAATGTTATTCATTTAAATTAAAAAAATATAAACTCACAAGGCTCAAGGAAACATTCTTAGTACTCAAGTAAATAAAATAAAATAAAATGAAAGTGAGATTTAAAGAGAAAATTTACTGACTGAGCATAGTGGCTCATCCTGTAACCCCAAGGATTTGGGAAGCCAAGGCAGGAGGATTGCTTGAGCCCAGGAGTTTGAGACCAGCCTGGGCAACAGAGTCAGACCTCATCTCAACTAAAATCTAAAAACCTAGCCAGGTGTGGTGCATGCCTGTACTCCCAGCTACTCAGAAAGCTGAGGTGGGAGAATCAGTTCAGCCCAGAAGTCTGAAGTTACAATGAGCTATGATCATGCCACTGCACCCCAGCTTGGGTGACAGAATGAGATGCTGTTTCAAACAATCGATCAATCAATAAAGAAGAGAAAAATTGGCTATGTGTGGTAGAAACTTGATACCACAAAAGAAAATGATTCTTAAATTCAGCCCAGAATTGGTAACACATACCCACCCCCATACGGTCTTCCTTAGATCACTCTAGACTAACAATAACAATGACAATTATACAGGTAAGGCAAACTGATTTTTCTGAATACCAACATAAGGACAAACTTTTACCTTTTCTATGCAATCATCGAAAAATGCTAATCCAGTATCTTTATCACTTACAAAACTGCATTCTTCAATGAAACGAATAAAAATCTGCGTTTTGGATAAAAGGGTATAGAATTTTGCATAGGCACGATCTCGACTTTTTAAAAATCCTGAGGAAAACAAAATTATAATTAAATTCCAATTTTAAACTGCAATTTGATGTTATAGTAAACATTAAACTTGTACTTATCTATATTACATTCTCTTTATATATATATCCACATTTAAAGAGAAGCTTCTATAGGTTGAGTATCCCTTATCTGAAATGCTTGGGATCAAAAGTGTTTCAACATTTTTATTTTTTTTAGGATTTAGAAATATTTGCATGTGCACAATTAGGTATCTTGGGGATGAGACCCAAGTAAACAGAAAATTCATTTATGTTTCTCATATATTCCTATCATACACACAGTCTCAAGGTAATGTTATACAGTATTTTCAATGATCTTGTGCATGAAACAAAATCGTGTTAAGTTCTTACGTGTACTTAAGTGGAATTTTCCACTTGTGGCATCATGTCAGCACTCAGAAATTTTCAGATTTTGGAGCATTCCAGGTTTTGGATTTTCAGATTAGGGAAGCTCAACCTGTGGTAACTACATATATAGCTCATTCTGCCTAATTAAACCATGAAAAATACTTAACTTGTATCCATGTCTTCCCTGAAATCTGTATCCCCTATAAGAAACCTCCACCTCTACAACTTTTAAGTAGAAATTTCTCTGATACTCTGCATACTCTTGAGTCCACAGTCAATTTCCAAAGAGTCAATGTCCTTCCTCTTCAATGCTGTGAGACCATTATTTCTCATTATTTCTGTACTGTGTTTTTTAAAATTTCTGCTCACTAAAGATTCAAGCATCTGGCTATTCCATTGTTTCATCTATTAATTGTAGTCATCTACTGATTTCAGGGACACACCTTGATTCACTGAAGAGTATTTGATTCAAGGTCTCCGCCTTTCTAATTCCTACCACCATCATTCTTCCATACCCAGAAGCACAAACTATGAAAATACTTTGGATTCTTCATTCATTCCTTGATTTTAGGTTTCCTTTTTTTTTTTTTTTTTGAGATGGAGTCTAGCTCTGTCACCCATGCTGGAGTGCAGTAGTGTGATCTCGGCTTACTGCAAACTTCACCACCCAGGTTCAAGTGGTTCTTCTGCCTCAGACTCCCAAGTAGCTAGGATTACAGGCGCCAGCCACCACACCTGGCTAATCTTTGTATTTTTAGTAGAGACAGAGTTTCCACATGTTGGCCAGGCTGGTCTTGAATGCCTGATCTCAGGTGATCAGCCGCCTTGGCCTCCCAAAGTTTTGGGATTACAAACGTGAGCCACTACACCCAGTCTCTTTTAAGAGATGGGGTCTTGCTATGTTGAGAAGGCTGGTCTTGTACTCCTGGCCTCAAGGGATCCTCCCATCTCAGCCTCCCAAAGTACTGGAATTACAGGTATGAACCACCATGCCCAGCCCTCATTCCTTGATTTTCAATGATCCTATGCTCCATCCCACCTCAAGCACCAACTTCAACACATAGTCACAGTCTATTGATTTTCCTTGTTAGCATTCAAAACAGCATTGCCTCCCGAATCTCTCATTTTCACATCACTCACAGCCCATTACCTCTGTGTATGTGGTCTCCTTACATAAGTATTTCTACTAAGTGTTTTAGAGTTTTGAAGCAGGGGCAGGGGGGTGGGGCGCAGAGAGGAAAGGCTCATTGAAATCTCCAGTCTATTGGCCCTTTTACCTCTACCTACATCTTCCCTTCTTCACTTCTTTCCCTATCCAATACTGATTCCATGCTATATCCATGATTTCTTTTTTTTTTTTTTTTTGACACGGAGTTTCGCTCTTGTTACCCAGGCTGGAGTCCAATGGCGTGATCTTGGCTCACCGCAACCTCCACCTCCTGGGTTCAGGCAATTCTCCTGCCTCAGCCTCCTGAGTAGCTGGGATTACAGGCACGCACCACCATGCCCAGCTAATTTTTTGTATTTTTAGTTGAGACGGGGTTTCACCATGTTGACCAGGATGGTCTCGATCTGTTGACCTCATGATCCACCCACCTCGGCCTCCCAAAGTGCTGGGATTACAGGCTCGAGCCACTGCGCCCGGCCCATGATTTCTATTACTTTTTTGTCAATACTCTCATCTCTTCTGCTCTTTTGTCTTTTTGGTTAAACAGACCTAGCATAACCCAGCTCTGGAGGAATGTACTGCCTGCTTTCTATGGATCTGCATTAGGGTGGCTGAGTACAAGTTAAGGGGGAAAAAAGTGACAGAACGAGACTCCGATCAGATCCTTCCCTTTTTTCTGTTGTTTCATTTTTTTTTTTTTTTGAGATGGAGTCTCACTCTGTCTCCAGGCTGGAGTGCAGTGGCATGATCTCGGCTCACTGCAATCTCCACCTCCCGGGTCCAAACGATTCCCCTACCTCAGTCTCCTGAGTAGCTGGGATTCCAGGTGTGCGCCACCATGCCTGGCTAATTTTTGTATTTTTAGTAGAGACAGGGTTTCACCATGTTGGTCAGGCTAGTTGCAAACTCCTGACCTCATGATCTGCCTACCTCAGTCTCCCAAAGTGGTGCGATTATAGGCATGAGTCACAGCGAACGGCTGTTTCACTTCTTAATAAAGGGCATGGCCATTCACTTAACTGTTAAAGGCAAAAGCCTCAAAGGTGCTCTTGGTATCTCCCCCTCTACTTTACATTCCATATTCAATCAACAGTTTCTACTCAATCTAATTCCTAAAAAAACTCACTCTTCTAATCACACTATCATTAATTAATCCAGGTCACCTCTAATAATCACTAGAACCAATGTGTCCACTTCCTAACTAGTAGATCCATGCTTCAATGCCACCAGTGCAATCTGTATGGAAGCAAAGGAAATTTTTTTTTTTTTAACATTTCAAAGAGTAATTTTTAAAAAAAAATGTAAATCTGATTCTATTATCTAATAAATATCCTTTACAGGCTTCCAATAACTTTTTTTTTTCTTATTTTTTTATTGCATTTTAGGTTTTGGGGTACATGTGCAGAGCATGCAATACAGTTGCATAGGTACACACATGGCAGTGTGTTCTGTTTGCTGTCCAATAACTCTTAGAATAAAAACTGAAACGAGCACTAATCCTAAAAGATCCTGTATAACCTGATTAATGCCAACATTTCAAACATGGTTTTCTCTGCAGCCTCTTTCTTTGATGCTATGGTCCTCATTCCCATCCCTTTTCAATACTAATTAGTAAAGAAAAGCTTAAACAAAATAGATATAAATTATTCTCCACAAGTTATAAAGAAAAGGCTTTCTTTCCGTCTAGTGGATCCAGGTAATGATCAGCAAAGGCTGCTAAACCAATTAAGTCAAAGGCTGATGGGTAAACTATAATGAATGAATGATGATGAAAATACTTTAAACCTATTAGGAACACCAAAAGTAGGACAGCCAGACATGTATGTGCTTCTCAAGATGATAGAATAGGAAGAAGTCAGCACCATGTATTTGGCACTTCTTGACAAGAGAATTAAACTGAATGTAATCAAGCCAATAGATCTGCACTGTTTAATTCAGTAGCCGCTACCTTCAGGTGGCAATTTAGCACTCAAAATGTAAATGATCGCAATTAAGACACACTGTAAGTAAAAAATAAATGCCAGAATTCAAAGACGTGGGCCGAGTGCAGTGGCTCACACCTGTAATCCCAGCACTTTGGGAGATCAAGGCAGGAGGATCACCTGAGGTCAGTAGTTCAAGACCAGCCTGGCCAACATGGTGAAACCCCACCTCTACCTAAAATACAGAAATTAGCAGGGTATGGTGGTATGCACCTATAATCCCAGCTACTTGGGAGGCTGAGGTGGGAGAATTGCTTAGAGCTCAGGAGGCAGAGGTTGCAGTTAGCCAAGATGGCACCACTGTGCTCTAGTCTTTAAAAAAAAAAAAAAAGATGTTTGTAGAAAAAGAAATGTAAATAATTTCATCAATAATTTAAAAAATCTGATTACATGCTGAAATGCTACTATTTTCCCCCTATTTTTTACTTTTTTATTGTGGCTACAAAAATAATTTTGAATTTTCTATGTGGCTTATATTATATTTCTACTAAACACTGTAGCTCTTGAACCTACCATAAATTTACAGGAAATACAAGTGGTAGAAGAAATGGTAAACAACATAAGAAAAAAATAAGCCAAAACCACATATACAAAATTCCTAGTTAATTCCTATGGCTTTTCTAGGCCCAAACTTAAAAGCAGAACACTAAAGGATACCTTAGGACACTAATATTCCTTGTTATTTCTTCAAAAAATATTTCTCTTCGAGGAATATTTCTCCTAACTAGCACTCTCACTGTGACCAATACCTTCCTTCACAATACACTTATTAAGATGTAGTCAGTATTTACATTATTTTATTGTCTAATGTCTGTGTCCCCTAGTAGACCAAATGCTGAACTGTTCACAATAAAATCTTAGGCCTTGGAAACTGAGTATCTTTTCAAATTCCTTTAGTGATGTCACTCCTGCACAATCCATACTCTTCATGTGAGATTTAAAACTACCCACAACCTGAGCCCTAATCTTGTATTCAGTCTTATCTTCCACAGCACCTCTAAAGCTCATCACTCTGGTCAAATTGTACCATTTAATCTTTTTTCCTAAATATGCTGTTATGAGTGAAACGATGCCCCCCCTCAAAATTTACATATATATATATACTATATTATATATATAGTATATAATTTCTGTATTTTTAGTAGAAACAGGGTTTTGCCATGTTGGCCAGGCTGGTCTCGAACTCCTGGCCTCGGGTGATTTGCCTGCCTCGGTCTCCCAAGGGATTATAGACATGACGCACCACGCCTAGTCAAGAAAATTTTAATAAGCTCCAGAAAGACTTTATAAATAACAAAGTAGAAATTGTAGCTCAGATTTGACTCTTAATGCCTATGGACTTCCAGAAAGCCTTTCCTGCTCTTCTCCATTTATCTTCATTCTACCCATTCTTCCAAGTCATGCTTCCTCCATGAAGGCGTTCAAAATACCCATTCTGAAATATTGGAATATTTGGAAGAATAATCCTCTTCTTTAATTCTTAAAACTTCCAAATTAAAATTGCATAAAATATGTTTTCTTGAGTACTTACCCTATTTTTAAAATATTTTAATTATTTTCCATTTAAGATCCCATAGAGCTAGGTTTTATACTTCTTTATATCCCTACATAATAACTAGCCAGTAAGTGGTGACTAAATATTTAAGTCGTTAAGTTATCCTAAAGCAGAGAAGATAAAGGACAAAAGGATTATTAGGAAAATGCAGAATTTTTTTAAGTAATCGCTAGGTAAAAACAAAGAAAAGTAAAATAATTTCATATGAATATTGATATAGATGTAAGGTTGCTACTACATTTGTGACAGTAGCTGAATAACAACAAAAGTCTCTATAATTTCATAAAACAAAACATACTAAAATGAATGAATATATGTTTTTCCCTGGAACAAGGATACACTAGTCAAAAATGTTTAAAATGTGGTGGCCTCATTGCACACACTAATTGTTAAGCCAAGAGTGTACACTTCTGGCCCGATGCAGTGGCTCACACCTATAATCCCAGCATTTTGGAAAGCCAAGGGAGAAGGATCCCTTGAGGCCAGGAGTTTGAAACCAGCCTGGCCAACAAAGCAAGACTCTGCTCTATTTAAAGAAAAAAAAGTATACAAATTAGGGAAATCACCAGTTATGTTCTACTAAGATAACCGACTACATGGTATTGTAAACATAGGCAACATCTCTGACTTTTCATAATTAAATATCTCTAGTTTCAAATTTCTCAAAAAAAAAGTGGGATAGAAAAATGACAAGAAATTCTAGTCATAGAGCTAGGTTACATAAACATGGAAGTTCATTATATTTTAATATGAATTTTTAATAATTTATACAATAAGTATTTCTTGGCAGCAACAACAAATATAAAATATTTTTCACTTCAATGAAAGGAATTGTACTTTCAATGATACTCACCCTGTCGGTCAAATAATGAATCAGCAGCTGTGGCTTTATTTGAAGGAGCCTCTGTGATTGGTCTGAGGTATGTTCTATATCCTTTTAAAATAGATGCCATAAAGCGTAAAAATGCCTCTTGAATTTCCATTTCAAGCTGTGTCATCTTCTTTTGCCAGGAGAAATCTGCTTCAATTGGAGTCATATCAATTGCTGAGCCTTCTTGAGTTTTTCGGTGAACTAACAAAGGAAATAAAAACAGAAAATGGTATTATTATGTTTAAATTTAAGAAGAATTTTCTCCTATACATTCCTTCATCAACAATATTCCTTTTTTCTCTCATTACCTGAAGACAGCTGGGGATACAATTTCTTTAAGGTGCTAAGTAGATTTTTACATGGCTTTTTGGGAAGTTGCTTCCAGTTCATGTTCTTCTTTTCATCTGATCTGTTAAATCAGAATAAAATTCATAAAATTTGTTATTCATAATCTGCTTTTACTAAACAAAATTCTTGCATCAACCTAAAACAAAAAAAAAATGGAAAAGATGTTTTTACTGAAGTTACAACTGATGCAAACAGTTTGAGTAAGTGATTTTCCAGGAAGTTATCTTTTTATTCAATCAACCTCGGTCAAATTTAGCCATCTCATTCTTACCCTCGAACATATATTTTCAGTATTGGAGTTAGGAATACAAAACACTGAAGCCTAACTTCAAAAGTTACATTTTAGAATTATGATATTATAAGTGTCAAATCTAGTTGACTTGAGACTTCAATCTACTACTGGTAGGCTTCTAAAATGCTGTGTGCCAAAAGAGAAGAATTAGAATTTAAGTAAGGATTAAAAGTACATGTAGTTCATCCAGCCCTCACAGTTAAAATAATGAGAATACCATTATTCAATATAATCTATGATCATGAAACAATAAAAACCAAAGCCGGACTAGCCTGCCCAACATGGTTAGACCCCGTCTCTACTAAAAATAAAAAATTAGCCAGGTGTTGTGGTGTGTGCCTGTAGTCTCTGCTACTCAGGAGGCTGAGGCAGGAGAATCACTTGAACCTGGGAGACGGAGGTTGCAGTGAGCTGAGATTGCACCATCGCACTCCAGCTTGGGCAACAGAGCAAGACTCTGTCAAAAACAAACAAAAATAAACCCAAAGCCATAGAAATGACCATTTTTAAAGGTATTACTAAAAGCTTGTTTCCAGAATTTTATATTCCAAAATTATAAAATATATACATATATATTCCAAGAACATAGAAATATAAAATATAGCAGACACAACTGCCTGAAAAGCCCTCTTTTTAAAAAAGTTAGCATACATGTAACACATGTTCTTTAAAATTCATGGCTAAGCTGGCAAGAAAATTGGGGAAAGTTTCAGTGATCGAATACCCAGCATAAAACCAAGGCCACATCTGCCCTGAGAATTAACAGAGAGCATTGGATTTTAAAGACTTCTTAGAGAACAGAAGACAAAGTCTCAGTATTACCAAGAGGTATGTTAGAACTAAGACTTCCAAATAAAATGGGTACCCTTGAAAGGCTGACTCAGCTTTGAATCTTTTTTTTTGAGACAGAGTCTCACTCTGTCATCCAGGCTGGAATGCAATGGCTCGATCTCAGCTCACTGTAGCCTCGGCCTTCCAGGTTCAAGCAATTCTCCTGCTTCAGACTCCTGAGTAGCTGGAATTACAGGGGTGCGCTACCATGCTGGCCTAATTTTTTATTTTAGTAGAGACAAGGTTTTACCATGTCGGCCAGGATGGTCTCAAACTCCTGGCCACATGTGATCCTCCCACCGCAGCCTCCCAAAGTGCTGGGATTATAGGCGTGAGACCCCACAGCCAGCCAGATTCTTTTTTTAATCCAAAATGCTACAATTCTAAGCCCTTTACCTAAGTCAGAAATTGTTTAGGTTTCTCTAAATGTAGCATGGCATAATGAAAAGGGCAGAGACTCCAGCTTTAAAATCAACCCAGAACCCTGATTGTACCTTTATATTCGCTGATTAATGAAATTAATAAATTTAATTAATAAAAATTTGATTTTTTTTTTTTTTTTTTTTAGGAAGGGAGGAAGGCAGGAAGGGAGGAAAGGAAGAAGGGAGGGAGGGAGGGAGAAAGGAAGGAAGGGAGGGAGAGAAGGGAAGGAAGGAAATCAGGCAATGAGAGAGACATTGCCGACCTGGATCTAGAGGTCTACAAGTTGATTTCTTTTTTCTTTTTTTGAGAGAAGGAAAGAAAAAAAAAGGAGTGAAGGAGAGTAAGAAAGAGGAAGAAAAAGTGGGAGAGAGAACGGAAATGTTGCTTTATTCTAAAAAAAATGGGTATTAATAATGGCCAATCAATATTTCATTTAGACCTATGAGTAGGTGTGATGTGGTATTGACAAGAATGTATATTTTGTGTATTTAAAATGGAGAGCTCTATAAATATTTATTAAGTTTACTTGTTCTGGATCTGAGTTCGAGTCCTTGATATCCTTATTAATTTTCTGTCTCATTGAGTCTAAGTCTCTATGTATCTGGGTGTTAGGATCGTTAGCTCTTGTTGATGCATTGATCCTTTTACCACTATATCTTTGTTGCTTTAAAATCTATTTTATCAGATACGAGAATTGCAACTCCTGCTTTTTATTTATTCATTTATTTTTGCTCTCCATTTGGTTGGTAAATCTTTCTCCATCCCTTTGTTTTGAGTCTTTGTGTATCCTTGCATGTGAAATGGGTCTGGATGTAGCATACTGTTGGGTTTTGGCTGTATCTTTTGATTGGGGGATTTAGTCGATTTAAATTTAGGATTACTGCCATTTGATGTTAACTGGCTGTTTTATCCATTCGTTGATGTAAATTCTTCTTTATGTTGATGCTCTTTACTTTTTGGTATATTTTTAGAAAGGCTAATACTGGTTGTTTCTTTCTGTGTGTAATGCTTCTTTCAGAAGCTCTTGTAAAGCAGGCCTGGTGGTAATAAAATCTCTGAGTACTTGGTTGTTCATTAAAGATTTTATTTTTCCTTCAGTTGTGAAGCTTAGTTTGGCTGGATATGAAATTCTGGGCTGAAAGTTCTGTTCTTTAAGGATGTTGAATATTGGCCCCCACTCTCTTCTGGCTTGTAGAGTTTCTGCTGAGAGATCTGCTGTAAGTCTGATAGGCTTCCCTTTGTGGGTAACCTGACCTTTCTCTCTGGCTGCCCTTAGTATTTTCTCCTTTGTTTTAACCCTGGTGAATCCAACGATTATGTGCCTTGGGGTTGCTCTTCTTGAGGAATATATTTGTGGTGTTCTCTATATTACCTGGGGTTGAATATTGTCCTTCTTTGCTAGTTTAGGAAAATTTTCCTGAATAATATCCTGAAGGGTATTTTCCAGCTTGGATTCATTCTCTCCGTCACATTCAGGTACACCCATCAAACGTAAATTTGGTCTTTTCACATAGTCCCACATTTCTTGGAGACTTTGCTCATTCCTTTTGATCCTTTTTCTCTAATCTTGTCTTCTCGTTTTATTTCATTAAGTTGGACTTCGACCTCTGATATCCCTACTTCTGCTTGAACAATTCGAGTGTTTAAACCTATGCATACTTCTTGGAATTCCTGTATTGTATTCTTCAGTTCCATTAATTCACTTATCTTCCTCTCTAAGTTGTCTATTCTCATTACGATTTTGTCAAACCTTTTTTCAAAGTTCTTAGTTTCTTTACATTGGGCTACAACATGTTCTTTTAACTCACAGAAGTTTCTTATTATCCATCTTCTGAAGCCTGACTCTGTTAATGGGATGTGCTCGTTCTCCATCAAGCCTTGTTCCCTTGTTGGTGAGGAACTGTGATCCTCTTTAGAGGGAGACGCATTCTGATTTTGAGTAGTCTCAGCCTTTCTACGCTGGTTTTGTCCCATCATTGTAAATTTATCCACCTGTCGTCTTTGTAATTATCAACTTTCAAATTAGGTCTCTGAGTGGACGTCCAAGTTAATTCCCAGGGCCAAAATATGAGCAACCCACTGAGCCAGCCAAAACAGCGGCGTTAAGACTGATGGTGCTTTTGTGCCCGGGAATCTCCAGTCTGGCTTCCTTCTTGAGTCCGTAATAGGCGACTCTGCCTTCCCGGAGCTCCATACATCGGTCAGAAGGGGAACCAGTCCCGTTTACTCTGCACCAAGAGCTGCCGCGCGGAGGTGCCGGCAAAACCGCTGTGCTGGCCACAAGAGTTGTGCTGGCAACCCATGCGGCTCCACCCAAACCTCGGTCAGAAAGAGAACCAGCCCCGTTTACTTCGCACCACGAGCTGCTGCGCCAAGGTGCCGGCAAAACCGCTGCGCCGGTCACAACAGTCGCACTGGCGACCTGTGCGACTCCTCCACTGGGAATCTTCTGCTCCGTGAGTGACCAAAATTTGTCTGAAAGTGTGACTCCTCTCATTCTCTGTGCTTTCACTGGGAGCTGCAATCCCGAGATGTTAGCGATCAGCCATCTTGGATCGTTCTCCCATAAAAATTTAATTTTTAACTAATAAAAAATTAAATGATTTTTAATCAGGTTCTATTTTGTATTAGTTTTCTTTAGCACTCAGTGCAGTTCACGTGTGGTTTTTTTTTCCAAGCAAGTCATTGTATTTTGGAATCTTTTTTTGCATACTTTAAATCTTTTAATTTAAAATATGTCAATTTTTTAAAATTTCAATAGGTTTTGGGGGAACAGGTGGTGTTTGGTTATACAAATAAGTTTAGTGGCGATTTCTGAGATTCAGGTGCACCCATCACCAAAGTAGTATACACTGTACCCCATGTGCAGTCTTTTTTCCTTCAACCCCCTCCTACCCTTTCTCCTAAGTCCCCAAAGTCCATTGTATGGTTCTTTTTTTTTTTTCTCTTTTGAGAGGAAGTCTCACTCTGTTGCCCAGGCTGTAGTACAGTGGCACAATCTTGGCTCACTGCTATCTCTTCCTCCCAAGTTCAAACGATTCTCCTGCCTCAGCCTCCCAAGTAATTGGGATTACAGGCACATGCCACCGTGCCTAGCTAATCACTGTATCATTCTTATGCCTGCGTCCTAATAGCTTAGCTCCATCAGCTTGGATTTTGATTGGAGGAGAAATCTCCCCTGAGAATTCATTACTATAAGCCTTCCAACTAATGGGTTATGAGTTTGACTGCATGCTACTGGCATGGTGCAAGAAACTGTAAGTCAAAATAATTAACTTCAAGTGCTCCCTAGCTTAACACCACCAGAAAGGAAGCAAACATAATATCCTCTCTGTAAGGACAAATGTCTTATAAAAGAGCTAACACTTCCTTTGTGCCTGATAGTGTTCAAAGATATATTTTAACATCTCTGAAACTGTCTTAGAAGTGACAGCCTGTCAAGTTTAACTCTGATCAATTTATCTCATTTTATGTAATCACTGTCTTAATATTTTAGTGCTATCTTTTACCATCCC